AACCCGACCAGGCTCCCGGGATGTGATTCCCGGCACTGCTGCAGGAGGGAGGAAGGGCTTCCCTTGCAGCATCTCATTTCACCCAACGCCATCAAAGGGCCGCTCCCCTGTACCATCTTCTAACCAAGAAATGCGAGCTGTGGAAGAAATCCAGGGCTGGGAAGCCCTGAGAATACACAGAAACCCCTCCAGGTCCTTTGGGTTGGCATTGGGGGATTTTATAGGGCAATACTGTCTCTCATCCCTGTCTCCCTTTCCATTACCCATTTAGGCAATACATGATCTCCATAAAACAAAATGTAATTCCTGATTTCTTTACATCCAGCTACACAGCATGCAAATTTTTCTTAGGGGGGAAAAAAACCCCCCGTAACATATTACAAAAACAATATTTAATTGGCATGTAGCAGAATCTTCTGACGGTACAAGGTAACGGCAGCAGTATTTTAAATTGGCAAGTTTATCACCTGTCTATTCATATTAAAATAAAAAGCCCACCTGCTATCTTGCATCAGAAGGGTGTGTGTACGGGGGAGGAAGGGGAACAATGCTGCCATACCAGCTGCCTCCTCAGCACAGAACTCCCCTGAAACCCACGGAGTAAAAAAAAAAAAAAAATTGGAAAAAACCAACCCAAACCTTCAGAATAATGATAAAAAAAATAAAACCCGATGGTTTTAGGAGTGCGTTGATGTCGAGCCGCCCCAGAAGGCGCCTGTCCTACCTGAGACGGTGCTGGCCATGCTGCGGCGGGAGCGGAGCGGGTGCTGCAGGAGCGCAGGAGCTGCGGAGGTGCTGCAATGCTGCGGGGAGGGAGGACTGACTCAGCTGGAGGGGGCTGCAGCCATCCGCGGCGGGGAGAGGCTGGAGCGCCCAGAGAAAGGCGAGGGGTGGAAAGAAAGAGAAGGGTCACTAGTTCAGAATATTAATGAGCGTATCAGGCCTCCTTTCCTGGGTGGCTTTGACGGCAGATCCCTCCCAGGCAAGCCTGGCTGCCAGGAACACAGCCCCACGGGGGAGGGGGGGAGACACACCCAGCCGGGCGCTGGCAAAAGAAGATTTTTCCTCCTCTTCCTCCCTTTCTTGTCTGCTTGAGATGGGCTAAACTGCTTTTTTTCCCCTTGCTGAAAGCAGAGATAAGCAAATTCATTGATTTTTTTTTTTAAACCATCTATTCCAAGACAGCCTCACCTGCAGGGCCAGGTCGGGGGTCAGGCTTAGCTGGGCTGAGATGCAAAACCCAAACCCCAACCCTTACAGCAGCTTCAGGCAAACAGCAAAGGGAGGAGGGATCCCAGACAGGTTTTTAGGCATGGGTTTAGCTTTTTTTTTGCACCAGCACTGAGGCACTAAAGGAGCTGCAGTTTGGGGAGGAAACTGCTGTAAAAGTAGAGGAGGAAGAGCAGAATGGAGCCTTCTCACTTCAGTGAGAATTCTCCAGGTTTCTCCCCCACCCCAGGCAGCAGGACCTCTCTTCTTGTCATTTGCTCTCTGTTCTCTATCATTTCTTTCATTTCCATTTGTGGCTCTTGCTAGGGGCCAATGCTTCTGTGATTTTAGAGCATCACACACACATTTGGGAGCAGGGAACCCTCCCAAACCCACACATCTCCCAGCACGCTGCAATGCAGACACTCCCAAACAATTCCAGCTGCTGCAGGGAACTACAGGTTGTTGGAGTAGCTGCCAGTGCTATGGCTTGGTCAGGGGCAGAAGCCACAGGCAGTGCCTATTAAATTCAGTTAAAAAACCCAGAGATTTTCCTTTTTTCCTAATTTTTCCCCCCCAATCTCCAAGTGTCCTATTCCTTCAGCATTGTATTTAAAAACAAAAACAAAAATTATAGAAAATTGGTCTAATTCAGAATAAAATTAACACTACCCACACATTTTCAAAGCGTGTTTGCAACAGGAGCTTTTTTTATGACCTTTAACTGCTTCTTGTTCTGTCCAAGGCTTGTTTTGTAGTTTCAACTCCCTCTACTTTCTCCTTGGATTGAATCTCTAGGACTTTATCTGTTATATTGTGTGTGTTTCAAAAACATCTTTGCCATGATCAGAGGAAGGCAGTCATCCCAGGCACCTGACTGCTGGAATAAGTTCCCAGCTCTGTTCAGGATGAGCTCTGGCTTTGATGTACCCAGCAGTCCCAAGAGGGTCTGGCTACCTCTTGTGACATTCTGCATCTTCTGGACATCAATCCTGTACACATTTTATTCCTTTCATTGAAGGAAGGGAAGAGAAGGCTTTCAAGGTGCCATGGCATGTGTCCCACTGGAATACACTGTGTGAGAAATGGGGAACAAATGATTTGGAGGGTCAGGGTGGAAAGCTATTTCCCAACAGTAAAGAGACAGAAAGGCTCTGGATTACCAGGATTTAAATGAATCAAATAATTTTGGGACAAACAAAAATTTTAGCCTGTTGTTATGGGAACCATCACATCTCAGGACAACGACTGGTAACTTAATCCTCTCCTGTCTGAAAGGATGAAAATAACCTTCATGCCAACCACAGGAGTTTCACAGCAGGTCCTCGTGGCTCTATGAATTCTTTTGTCCCATTCCTGAAGGTTCCTGCTCATCTGGAAGCATCTGGATCTCATCTGGGAAGAGAGATCCTGCCTGGGCAGCCTCTGAACAAACAGGAGCATTATTCCTTTTGTATTTCTTCACAGCACGAGTGTCCTCCTTTCCAGGTCTCCATGACATGGTTCAGCTATTTCCCCACAGAGGTTAAGGATCATCTTTTCCAAGGTTTATATTTTGCATATTTTTTTTTCCCTGAAAATGAAAAATAGTTCAGCCAAGATCTTCCCCATCCACTAATGAGAGGAGAAGGGCTGGTTCCCTCTGCCTGAGCTGGCAGGGAGAGGCTGTTCCAGGTGAAGGGCTGGACTGTCACACAACCCACATTTTGCAAACCTCTCCTCCCTCTCCAAACTCCTGCTTTATAAGAACTCAGGGTTTACCCCAGGGAGCCAAACACCAGGATGACAATCCAGTGTAAGACAACACCTTTATTTACCATCCCTGTACCCCGACACAGGCGCTGCAGCTCCACCAAACCCTCGCAATCTCTCCGCAACCTGAAAAAGAAATAAATGTTTCTCTTTAAAATTACAAACCATTGCCCCCCCCCCCCTGTTTCCTCTGCTCTGTTTTTAGAAGAACCTGGTGCAGCAGTGCTGGAGGCAGCCTGGCTGCAGCCTGGTCAGGTGGGGTCACTGGTGCAGAGGAGCAGCCCCAGGAGATGCGGAGCTGGCGGGAGCTGAGTCATGTTTGCTGTGGACACGGGCACCTGCTGACTCACACTCCTGCTCTGGGCTGGGAGCCTTCCAGCCCTTCTCTCCCAGCAGGTAACACTGCTGCAACCAACAGCTCTTAAACAAGGGAAAATAATCTCATTTGGCACACAGTTGACACTGCTCCTCCACGTAGGAAAGATGTGTTTACAGGAAATAACGACGACACGGTATTCCATGTATTTATGAGGAGACCTGAACTTTTATTGTCCCCACAGGTTATCCAACACTCTCATTTTACAATCTCTACAAAGTAATTTCTTTTGCAGCTTAACCTTGCATGATTGGTATCACGTTGAAGAGCTCACAGTCAGAAACATGAGTAAAAACAGCTGTTACATTTTGCATGGAGTGCCATGAAGATCCAAAGGAATAACTCCGTGCTCTCCAGCCCATTCTCCATAATTAAAGACAATTTATAATCCAGCCCACTCCCTATAATCAAAGACAGTTTATAATCCAGGGAAGTTCAGCTCATGGAGTTTAAAGGCTGGTGACGTAAACAGCAACACCCATGAGCTCCCCTAACCCAACACCAAGACAGAGGAGGTACCACATTTTGGGAACAGCACAGATCACACAGTGTTTAATTCACATAAAGTTTTCTGTTCCTTTTAAAATCAGAACTTCTGCACACAAACCAATTGTGCAGCTGGCTAGGGATAGATAATTTTAAAGTTACAACAAAAGAAGACATATCCTGTTCTACATCTACACAGTGACCATCTGACAGTGTGAGATGCAGTGATAAAGCACAGAGATATCTGTAAAATATTATTTTATTGCATAAAACGTTTTTTGCAAAATTTGGAGGTCCAGGTAAACCATGCCTTGTTAAAACACCTGGGTCTTAGAAACTGAGTAATCCATCAATCCAGAGCAGTTCGCTGCAGTCACACACGTGTGGAACCAACCCTCGACCTGAGCACCTGGAATGCTGACGGAGCCGTTCCATGAATACACTGACAGGGGGCTGAAGGGTGGGAGCACCGCGCCGAAGAAAAGCTGGGAACAAAGGAGCGGCACGTTCACCCCAAACAAAAGAGACCCGTCAGAATTCATTACTGCTCCTAAGGCAGGAGCCACAAGGCTCGACACAGAGCGGCAGAACCCCTCCCACCCTAAAGGCTGAGGGTTTCACAAAGCCTCCTGTCGTGTTCTGCCCTCTCTTCCCTGCAGCACCGCCCAGCACAAAGCACAGCGGGGTCCTGGACACCGCCCGGCCAAGGGCAGCGCTCATCACACGCTCCCGAGTCCTTAAAAAGGGGCAGAAACGCCAGTCCGGGGCAGCCCCGGCGTGGGGCACCCGCACACGGCTGGGAAGCCTTGGAAATGCAGTTTTTAGCGACCGGACGGCCGATTTCTGCCTCTTCGGGGCCCCACCTCGGCCCAGCGCCCCGAGGGAAGCGGCTTGCGGGACTGCTCCGGCTGAACCACCTGTTCGGGGAGCGGGGCCTGCTTTCTTCAGGTGGCGGCAGGGCCCAGACGGACACCGGGCTTGGACCGCTCCCGCCGGGCCCTTAGAGGACACGGCACAGCCCCCGAGCCGCGCTCAGCTCCCCGGGCCCGGGATCCCCCGGACCCGCCCCGGGCCCCGAGCTCGGGCCCCGCCATGGCCACCTCCCTCCCCTGGCCGTTACCGTCCTGCGGCAAACAGCGCCGCTCTCGCGAGAGCGCCCGCCGGAAGTCACGCGCGGAGCGTGAGTGGGGCGGGCACGTGACACGGGCGCGGGGATTGCGAACGGCGGAGCCGGAGGTGCGGGAATAGGGGAATACCGGGATACGGGGATGGGAGAGTGTGGGAATACCGGGACACGGGAATGGGAGAGGGTGGGAATACCGGGACACGGGAATGGGAGAGGGTGGGAATACCGGGACACGGGAATAGGAGAGGGTGGGAATACCGGGGCACGGGAATGGGAGAGTGTGGGAATACCAGGACACGGGAGTATGGGAATGGGGGAATGTGGGAATACCGGGACTCGGGAATAGGGGGATGTGGGAATATGGGAATACCGGAACGTGGGCCAGAGCGGGTGGAGGGGACCAGGACATGGGAACCCGGGCCCCGAGTGCCCCTGAGCTTCCTGCCCGGCCCACCGGTACCGCCCCGTCCCAAATTGCGTGTGACCTGATTGTCCCTTCGGTGCCAGGAGGGGCCGACAAGAAAGGTGGATGGAGCCTGTTTAGAGGGATCTGGAGTGACAGAACAAGGGGGAATGGATTCACACTGACAAAGAGTAGGGTTAGATTGGGTGTTAGGAAGGAATTCTTCCCTGTGAGGGTGCTGAGGCCCTGGCCCAAGTTGGCCAGGAAAGCTGTGGCTGCCCCATCCCTGGAAGTGTTTAACCAGGTTGGACGGGGCTTGGAGCAACCTGGTCTAGTAGAAGGTGTCCCTGACCATGGCAGGGAGTTGGAACAAGATGGGCTTTAAGGTACCTTCCAACCCAAACCAGTCTGTGTTTCTGTCATTCCGATAACACCGTGGCAGCAGGATCAGTCACAGCCTGTGTTTCCTTGCAGGCACTGACAGGACCATGCCCAGGATCACTCTGAATGGCATCACAGTGGATTTCCCCTTCCAGCCCTACCCGTGCCAGGAAGCCTACATGGCCAAGGTGCTGGAGTGCCTGCAGAAGGTGGGTCCGTGCTGCCTCCATGGGGGCAATTTGGCTCATTTACCAACTGCACAAAATGATTTCTCTAAGAAGAAGTTGTCACAATTCAAGTTTCCTTTATGTAGTCTGTTTGCTACCTTTTCCAAGTTTTCTGTGACCTTTTGCTTCTATTTTTATTTTTCTCTATGGTTATTGAAAACCCACGTGTCAGGTGACTCTCAGTAGAAATATAGATAGGGTGTTCCTGCCTAATTTGGGAAAAGGAAATAAAACTGAGCAAGTAGTACTTGTATTCATGCAGTCTGTCCTTGGCTGTCTGGGGTGTCATGGAATCATGGATGATTTGGGTTGGAAGGGCCTCATTAAGTTGATTAGAGGGTCCTACAGGTCATGCATTGATGATGACCTTGTGTGTGTGTGTGTGTTCCTTGGTAGGTGCTGCCAGCTGGTGTTTGCTTTTTGCAGAGGACGTGCAGTACCGCACGAAGACCTGTTCTAGCTGAACCTCCAAATGACTCACTTATCCCCTTCTTATTTTATTTCCGTCCAATAAAGAAGGTGAATGGCATTTTGGAGAGCCCCACAGGCACGGGGAAGACCCTCTGCCTGCTGTGTTCCACCCTGGCTTGGCGGGAGCACTTCAAGGACACCATCTCAGCCCGGAAAATCGCTCAGCGTCTGCACGGGGTGGAGCTGTTTCCTGGCAGACCCCTGTCCTCCTGGGGCACTGCTGCCACGGATGGTGATGTCCCGAGTGAGTACCACCACCTTTGCCCTCAGGGATGTCAGTCAACACTTGCTTTTGTCTATCTTTTGTGATAAATACATGATTACAGAAGTTATGGAGCTGTTGTTGAGCGGCTGAAGCACAGTTTCACCGTTTTATAGGTTTTTCAGGGTGTTTCACATGGTTTTAAATTTTTCTTACAATGTTAGAAACTCATTTAGCTCGTCTGGTGGGTGTGAGTTGTTAGATGACAGAATTTCCTGCTGTCTCTACAAGGCAAACTGTTACCATAGTACCAGCTGGGAAAAGAGGCTAAGAATATCCCTAGTTCTTCTGTCCCTGCTCATAATGTTTTTCTGCTTTTTTCCTCTTCTGTTTGGCAGCTTATTACACTGACATTCCGAAAATAATTTATGCCTCCAGAACTCACTCCCAACTTACACAAGTCATTAATGAGTTGAAGAACACAGTCTACAGGCAAGTATGATTTAGGGTAGTGTTGCTATTCAAAGCAAAGGTGGACAAACCCATCTGATGTAGTTATTGTTTGAACTTCTGTGGATGGATATAAAAAGCTATATCCAGAGAAATGTCATTCCCTTACTGTGCATGAATAGAACCTGGATTTCATTGTTGTTGGGTCTGGTTTATTTTAATACTCCACAGCTTCTCTTATCTTCTTCTATCATAGAATTTTCTGAATTTAGTATGGTTTTGGTTCTTCACTTGGCACATTTACTTATAAAATTACCTTTTTTAATTCCCTTTCTTTATATTTTCCTGGGCATTTCTTTAAGGCAGCAGGAAACTGTTACCAAGCTGAATTCCTCAGGCTGATGTAAATCTATGAAGAACTTTGTGGGTTTGTTGTACCAATGCCTGTCACAGTTTTCAGCTGTTGACCTGCCAGTGTGTGGCCGAGCTCTTTGGACAGGCAGTAGTCATTTGTCTATATAGTTCTTGTAAAGATACAGCCTTGTGATAAGCAAAAAAAAAAAAAATATTGTGAATGTTTGTAGAGCATCAGTTCTGTCACAACCTTACTCTGAACATCCCCACCAGCTCAAAATGTCTTGTAATGGGTGACAGGCCCAGCTGACTGGGCTAAACTGTCATAAGAGAACCCAGACTTTGTGGTGGATGGTGTAAGATGCTGCTGTTACCTCCTGCTGTGAGCTGCTGCTGCTTATTAACACTCTCTGCTGCCACAGAAATGCAGCACCAGAAAGCCAAATAACATGTACAGCAGTTACAGACAGACTAATTTGCTTGTTCTGGTTTTTACCCTTGTTTTGGGCTCATCTGTTTCTCCTGAATCTTTCGCTTTTGAGACATTGAATCTAGACACTTGCAACTCTCTTCTTCTTTCTTGCCTTGTTTTTAACATCGGTTTTTTGTATCCTGTTTGAACAGGCCAAAGATATGTGTGTTGGGATCCAGAGAGCAGCTTTGCATCAATCCTGAAGTGAAGAGACAGGAGAACAACCACATGCAGGTGAGATCAGAGCCTAGAGAGGATGTACTGGGAGAACACGGAGGCTTTTGTGTCATTTGTGTGTCATTCTTCACTCTAACGTTGTTTAAACTACTGGAGGCAGTAGGGAAGCAGAATAGTTGTAAATGTGGTTCAAGGAACTTTTAGTTTCTAGTTTTGTGAGTGCAAAATATGATTCTCAGTCTCTGGTGATGTTTTCTGTCCAGGGAAGGATCACAGAATCACAGATGTCACTGTGTAGAACATGAAAGAGGGCCTGACTTGCAATGTGGACAGAGGGACACGTGATTTTAAAACTGAAGAACTGTAGTTAGCCTTATTAATTATCTGGTGCTAGAGAAAATTGGTATCTCCTCACCCCTTAACCTGCTTCTCAGTGCTTGACAAGCTGTGCCACTGTGGGCTAAAATAGACTTTGTTTTACAGATCTACATGTGCCGAATGAAAGTGATGACTCGTGCTTGTCACTTCTATAACAATGTGGAAGGTGAGTTGGGCTCACCTGTACTTCACCTGGAAGCAAAGCCCCATTTTCTGGGGGGGGAGAGGTTTGCTAGGCACGTAGAAAAGTTTGGAAGAGTTGGCAGAATCTATCTGTGTTTTGCTCTGTGTTACTGTCTTTCAAGAATGAGATGTTAATGGGTGAGTGTGATGATCAGAGTAACAAGAAGTCTTTGTGTGATACCTTTACCTAAGCTGATGGCTTTAATATCATGTTTTACAGAAAAGAGTACACAGAAAGAACTGATTGAACCAATCATGGATATTGAAGACTTGGTTAAAAATGGAAACAAGCACAGGTGAAGGATCCCCTCTGACCTTCCTCCCCCTGACTTGTGAAAATAATGAACACTACTTTTCTGCTCACTCTTATTATTGCCTTTGTATGTCATAGTTCATGAATTTTGAATACAATATTAATATTTCTGCAAGTATTATAGTTTGTATTACTTTTTTTAAACAGAGCTTGTCCTTATTATCTCTCTCGAAGCCTGAAGCAGCAAGCAGACATTATTTTTATGCCTTACAACTATTTACTAGACTCAAAGGTATGTATACAATACATATGTATTTGCTTTTAAATACAATTGTACTTCTGTTTGTCTTATGTGGCTTTCAGTGGATAAGCTGTGAAGAATGATGCCTAGCAAGTGGATGCATTATGTGGCTACTTCAGAACTGATCAAACCCCAGTTCAAGTTCAGAACCATAGAGGGTGACATTTTGAGGGTTCTCTGTAAATTCTTTCCTACAGTTAAGAAATTTTTTGTTTGTTTGTTTGTTTGTTTGAGATGTTTAGATTTTTGTAGAATTAGCTTTGTAGAATGTGGTGCCCTTCTGGTTGGGGATATTCACCTTCTGGACACAAACCTTCAGTCACACACTATGCAGTATTTTTGCATGTATCCTGAGACATTTTTGTTTCTGCAGCAGCTGCATGATTTCTAGAATAAGGAAACTTCAGTAGAGATTGGACATATCCCTTGGAAATAATCCCTTGGAAGTAATTATTTTTTACTACAACAAAACTATTGTAGTAAGTTGCCCATATTTCATGGATAGAAAATGAAACCTCTGAAAACTCTGTTGAGGAAACTAATGTGCTGACATCTTCATGCAACTTGGAGTAATTCATGAATTATAGCAAAACCCAGATTATGCCCCACTGCTGCAGAAGGACCAAATGTTTAATAAATTAAAAACTAAATTTAAAAAGTATCCTAAGCACCATAAGCAAAGAAGCACTGTGAAATGAGGTTACATGGTGTGGTACCGGTGGGGGTGTTTTCAGAGTATCCACTTCTTGCAAAGACAACAAAATTTATGAATACAAGACAAATGCCCTACTTCACACTCCACTCCTATTGCCAAAAATAGTAGCTGAAATGAATTCTGTTAAACTTGTACATCCCAGTATGGTACATCTGAGGTTATTTGTTTATAACAAGTCGTAACCTCTGTAAACTTTTACATGGTGCATTTTAACACCTTTGTTTCCAGAGAAAGCGATTCTGTGGTTTCTATATTGATTAGCCACAGCCTTTACTTGCTGTTTTTCCAAAGGGAAAAACCAACCCAGCTTCAAAGTAGATGAAAACCCAAATGTATCTCATCATCCAGTTTCCCAGCCAATCAAATCCATACTTCTCAGTGGCCTTTCTGTCCATTCCCTTGTTCTCTTTTTTTATCTTTAGAGTCGGAAAGCTCACAACTTAGACCTGAAGGGGACTGTGGTAATACTTGATGAAGCTCACAATGTGGTAAGTTGTTCTGGTCTGTTGCCATTTTTCATCCACAGAGAAAATAGACTTGTGTCCAATTACAAACAGTCTATAAAATCTGTACTCAAAGGTATGGTTTTGATACTCATTATCACAAACATTTCTTGTTTCCATGACAGTTAAAGGTTTGTGATTTAAGTTACAGTCCTTTGACACTGCTTTTTTTGACACTGGTTTTTTACAAGGTGATAGTTTCTTTCTGAAAGGTGCATCTCCAAATTTATGAGGTGCTTATTTTCTTGGAGACTTCTCTTCCAGGGTCTAAGAAATCATGAAAGATCCATTCTTGAAGCTCAGCTGCATCAGCTCCCCCAAGTGCAATAGATGGCAAACATGGCTCTTGTAATATTTCCAAGTCTTCACTCAGAGAGGAAAACAAGAAAAAACAAATAGTGCAGCGTTGTGAGTTCTTCTTTTAACTGGCTCAAAACTGCAGCCCTTTGCCTAAATGATGAATTGCAAAGGAACTTGAAATATGTCCCTTTTTTCTGCCACATGAAGAACCTCCTAGTGGGATTTCTGCTGAACAGCTGTGGTTTCTGGTCTGATTGCATGTGTCCTTTCAGTAAACAGCCACACCAAGGTCTACTGTGCTTCACTAGAGAGTGAAATTCCATAGTTGCATTCAGTATTTGCTCCTTTCACCAGAATATCTGTTTTTCTGTTGAAAAATGAATGGAGATCCAGACACAGTTGTTTGGGGTTTGGATTTTTTTTCCCTTTGTAGTGTTTAAAAAGTACTAGTTGATGTGCCTGCATGCAGAAGTTAACTAGAACAGCTACTCTTTTTGCAATAGTTCTCTGATGGTATTGCCTGTTCCAGGTTAATATGTGGAAACTTAGTGATTACCCCAAAATAAAATGGATTTATTTCTGATTAGATTGTTTACACATGCAGCTAGCTCAGCTTTTTTTTTTTTCTTTATAACTTGTTTCTTCATAGCTATTACAGTCAAATTTTTGTGTAGGTTAGACCTTACAATTTATCTTTGTTCCTTGGGGAAGATGATTCTTTTTGTGAATGAAAATTTCTGGCAAAACTGTATGTGAATTAATTTTCAAAGTCAGAGAGAGTTTTGTCAAATTTGTTGGTTATGAGTGTTTAAACCATTGCTTCCTTTTTAATAGAAAGTGTGTTTCCTTCCTTTTCTTTAATAGTATTTATTTATTCTGCCATATGTTTTGGCCCAAGTTTTACATAGGAATAATAAACATTTTACTGTGTTTTTTTGTTTTTGTTTTCCTTTTCATGGTGTCCCTTCCCTTTATTCTCCACATCCTCATCTCTGCAAAATGAAGAGGGGCAAGGATCATGTCTTCCTATGAGTGAATATAGGGAGACAAGTATTTTCTAAGAGTGTGAGAGGGACCAGAAGTAGCTTTTTTGAAGGACGAACTGATTCTCTAAGTAAAAAATTTCCTGTTTGAACAGTTTGTCATCAAACAATTACTGTCTGTACTCTGTAGAATGTTAATAACATGGACAAGGCAAAATCTGTTCTACATTTCAGAAAAAAAGGATACTTAGTGAAAGTCAGTCTTCAGGTGCTTATAAAATGTCCTCTGGCCTGAGCTGGAGATCAGAAATGAAATCAAGCCCAGTCATCTGGACTTCATCATCTCTGAAATTGCCCAAGCAAACAGCACACAGAGCAGTCAGAAAAATTCTTCCATTGCTTATATTTTAGGAGAGGTTGTGTGAGGAGTCCTCTTCCTTTGACCTGACTCCCTATGATTTGGCTTCGGCGATGGACGTGATAAACGTCATCCTGGAGGAACAAGCCAAGGTCGTTCAACAGAATGAAATCAATGCTGAATTCAACATGGAGCTGGCCAGTTCAGGTTTGTTGGCAACCACAAATCGCTGTTCCTCTGGGATTATAGGGTGCCACTGGAAAATACTGTTAGGGAAAGTTTCTGGGAGGTTTACGCTCTCATTAGTGGATAAATTATTGTTAATTAGTAGTTGCTGCCAGACACGGAAAGATTTGATGAAACCAATGTGACGTGAGGGGTCATGGGAAATAACAGGGAGGGGAGCACGGAAGATGTCTTTCCATACACACAGTTCTAGCCTTCATAGTTGTAATTTGTGAAAAGGCACAAAGAAACTGGGAATGAAATAGGCATGAAACAACCTCTTTGAAATCTTTCCTTTCTTCAACAGGACTGAACATGGAACTCGAAGATATAGCAAAGATCAAGAGTAAGCTTATATCCTGTGTTGTTGAAAACTGTTGTTGAAACAGGCTCAAAAAGTCAGCAACTATAAATCAAGCTCGTGTAGCATTTCCATAGACCTTGCTTGTAATGCTGACATTCATGGAAGCTTAAGTTGTCTGGCTTGTTCCAGGAATTTTGTGAAGTGTTTAGTTAATTTTTTCTCAAGAAGAGAGATTTGGCAGATGAATGCATTGCTTCCTTCTTTGCTAGAAATTCCCTTGTTTTCTGATCTTGGAATTACATTAGTTGCATCATTCTGCTGGAACAACATGATGCTACCTGAAGTTAACAGCAAGAGCTGAGATGTCTCATCTTTACAAAGCATTTTCAAAACCAACTTTCCCTGTCTATAAAGAAGAGTTTAACATTTATCTTGTGACTTAAGCTTCATCTAGGAATTGAGATCATGGAAGTTCTTAGAGTTGAATATGAATATTTAAAGATGATACCTAGGAAATTGGTTTTGATCATTTTGATTTGTTTACAGACTGAAGAGAACAGCTGGGCTGCTGTCTTTGGTAACAGCCTTTGTAATAAAGTACATTTGAAAAAGAGGCTTAGATATGTCCCAGAAGTTAGTTTCTGTGCACCCTGACTTTTTCCTCTCTTGATTCTCTTGAAGAAATTCTTCTTCAACTAGAAAGTGCTATTGATGCAGTGGAGCTGCCACTGAATGGTAAAGGAGTCACCAAAGAGGGAAGGTAAATTTCTTCTCAATGATAAGTTTACATGTTAAAAGTACAGCAAATTCTAGTCCCAGGTGGAACTGAGTGAGCTGTTGGGCTCTAGCACTATTCTAGTGTCTGGAAATAGTATTTATTCACAGCTTTGGGTTTCCTTAAATCCCCTGTCCGTGTTAATCATTATTTCTGATGGAACTTACTGGTGTTTCAAGGGTGGATGTGTGTGTACACCTTGGGTATTCTGAGCTGGAAGAAAGCTCCTTTCAATTTTGTATCGTGATTTAGGCACAGGTACCAATGCTGCAGTGAGCTGTTTGAGGCACCTCAGAGCTCTGCAAGTCTATTCCTACCTAAACTAATGCCTGTTGTACATTGTAAAAATAATCACGGAAATTGCATGCAAATCTGCTTCTAAATTAATATGTTGGAGAGAAATCATGGAAAATGGGAGTGATGTAATCAATGTGCTTTCTGTCATGTCAATATTATCCGCTCTATTTATAAGCAAACACTTAATTCCTGTAAAATTTTCTTTCTCATGGAGACAGAAACATGTTTTGCTGCTTGATGGTGAAATTGTTGTTATGAAAGAGTAACAGTAATTGTGTCCATGTGATTCTCTACAGTGTTTAACCATTTCTGCTTTTTCTTTGTAAATTGCAGCTACATCTTTGATCTGTTCGCAGAGGCTCAAATAACATTCCAGACCAAATCCTCCCTCTTGGAGTCACTGGAGCAAATTTTACAGTATCTTTCAGGCCGTAAGTGTATAAACTTGTTAGTTGTTTCACTCAGGCTTTTCTCTTTAGTGCAGGTGATTGGAAGTTTGCATTGTTAAGGGGGAGGAGGAGAAAGGCTTCTTTGTTTAGAATTAAATTGTAAAGCTTTTAAAAACTAAAATCTGACTGTGAGGACCTGTGTCTTTTTATTAAGACTTGCAGCAGGGTTCTCTGCTTGGAAACATGTTTTTTGTCTGTTCATGCAACAGAACTAATTTTAAGAACCACTTTGTGTCAAAACCTGGGTGTGTGCCAGCATGTGCATGTGCATCCATAGAGGATTTTTGCACAGACACTATTTTTCTGCAAAACCAGGTGCATTGTGGGGTGAAGCTTGTTGACATTTTATTGATGACCCCTTTAGTGTTTCAAGTTCTTCCCTGGTAATGGAGTCAAGAAATAGAAATGTTGGGAATCACATAATGTGGGGTTTTTTTCCTTGATTTAACAAGCTTCTGTTCTGCTGTCTGCCAGCATCTTGTTCTTAGTTTGCCCTTCTGGGAAGAAAATTCTCCAACTTCTACATGTGTTAAGAAAATGAGTTACTTCTTACTAGCAGACTCTTCAGAAAAAAACATTGAAGGGACTAGAATAGACTGCCAGTTCTGCAAGTGCATCCTAGGACAACACATCTATCCTTCCTTTTTCTTTCCCCAGCATCTTTGTCCTTTTAGGCTGTTTGACAGGTGCATCTGTTGATCATTTCTGCTCTCAAATCTCCACCACCCATGTATTTCATATGTTCCTTTAGCTGCTCCTCTAATCACCGTTTCAAGCACACTAGAGCTGATTGGGAAGGGCTATTTATAGCTGGAGCAAAGGTTTTTAGCAAGGTTTTTTTAGCAAAGGTTAATTTTCTCTCTGCATAATGGACTAGTCAGTTTTCTGTTCTTTTTTCCATGACACTAATATAAGATATGTGAGCTTTTGAAAAAAGTAACCAAACTTTAAATGTGTTTATCTTGGTTTTGATTAGCTCCTATCCAATTTTTAGTCTAGAGGAGCCTTAAGAAGTTTATGTAATTTTCTCAGATGACAGTTTCCCAGTGTGTTACAATTTTCCTGGCGTGCAATGCCAGTTTTATGTTTCTCCTTGCATCTAGAATAATGATGAAAAACTTGAAATCATTTGTTTGTTCAGATAATAGTTTCAAGGCTTTGTATTCAGCATGTTGAGCTGCTTGGATAAGATGTGGATATATACAAGAGGATGTATATTTGTATTGTAAGAATTGTGTGTTTCTGTCTCCAGGTACTGGGATATTTATCAATACATCTGGATTGCATAAACTCTCAGATATTATCCAGGTAAATAATTAATGTGTCCTCTATAAACATCAGAAGGATAGAAGAGTTGGTTTAAAAGGTGTAGAAAGGCATTGGATCCATTTTATTTTTGATGGTCTGTACACTTGTGCAGTGGTACAAGTCTATAGTTTTTGAGGAGAAAGCTGCTGCCTGATGGGATGGTCCAATGTGATTTTTGCACAGGTTGTTCTGCATTTCTGGTCTCTCCTTTTGGAGGTGCTGGATTTAAACTAGCCTGGATTTAGCCTCCACCAGGTGGAGCTGGGTTATTGAGCTCTTTGCTTTTTAGCAGCAGCATTTCAGAATACGAGACCTTCTCATGAAATAACAGGACAGGCTAAGGATAAAAAGCAAACAAAAGATAATTTAACTGCATTTTTTTTTTCATTTAATTATTAACTTAAGAGATCACTAAAACAAAAGTCTTTTCAGTGCTGCAGGAACTGAATGTGACACCTGTGGGTACCCACATAATGCTTTCAGTCCTCTCCCTAGTGTGCACTTCCAAAACTTTGATTATGAAAATTCTGAGCCCCATAAAATTAGGGAGTACAGTGGGCCAGTGGCCTGTCCAACATATGTGTCCAGAGGGGCACCAGGGAATAACACCCCGTTTAAAACTAAAAATGAAGAAATATATTCAAAGTTTGCAAACCTGCATAATAAAGACAAGCTACCTGTCTGTGTTTTAAATGATCCTGGTAGATTTGCAATACTGAACTCTGAATGGATGGATGTTTGTGAGGGTGTATTTACAGTGGCATACACAGGATTTAATTTTTTTATGAGTGGCTAAACAAAACCTTTATGTATGTTCTGATACAGTAATAGCAATTTGTGTATGCTGGTACCAAAATGATTTATACTGGGTGGTGATGTCACTGTTCTGAGGGCAAGGTGAGGTTGTGCCTAATTTAAATTGGTTTCTCAGAGATTCAAAGCTGAGAGATGAGAAAATTCAGAAGTAGGAGCGAGGTCTCCTGATCCCAGTGACCTGTGCTACAGGTCTGGGGATAATTGTCTGGGTGTGCTCTTTTAAGCTGTGGATAGTGACTTGAATTTGGAAGAGAAAGCTCAGATCCCTTTTCTGCTGCTGAGGACATGCACATGGACAGTCACTGCAAATGATCTGCCATGGGATAATTTGCTATCCTGAGATATTTTAAAGTAGGACCAGGACAGAGTTTTCGTTGGTTAAACACAGTGCTTGCTGCTTGCAGAGCCTTGTCTTTGAGTCTTAGTTTATCATCAACTTGTTTCAATTAGTAGTCAATTTTTTTCTTCCTTTTGAAGAACACTTACCAAAATCACCATATCTTTGGCTATTTTTCAGAAGTAAATATTTCCAGGAATTGTATTTTTTTTTCCCCCGCTGGTGGAGAACATCTTTCTTGTTTCAAATAGCTGATATTATTATGAGTGTGGGTAATTCCTTTTAAATGTCTGAAGAAATTTTGTTTAGAAAAATTAACAGGGGTTATAAATATTTGAGAACCACAGCTGTTGTCATTGAAGTTGAACTGGAATGTCATATGTTTGAAACAACATCATCTGTTGTCCTGAGACATCACATATGGGAAAGGGGAAAAAGCACAACTGTTGATAGAAACTTTTAATTTAATGGACAGTTAAATACGATTACAACTTGATTGTTTTTCTAAGCAGAGTGTTATTAGGGTTGAGTATCACAGATGACATTTTGGTCTGAAGGAATGGAAAGAGTTCTTTTATGCTCAGTTGTGACTGTGATCTTGTGAATGTGTTCGTTTATCCACAGCTAGAGTCATGAACAGTGTGAATGATAATACTGTCATTTGTATAGTTTGAATATATTCAGATATTGGCTTGTATTTTTAGAACAATGAGAGAGCCATGTGGTTAGCAGGAGTCACCTGTGAAAACCTTATTTATTCAAGAATCTCTGTCTTATTAAATAGCAGGAGCAAGGAGCTATATTTAAAGTTATCACAGCAGTAACTTTTGTGAAGATACTTCTCAGTGCAAAAACACATTTGGGATTTTGCTGGAAGCAAAAATCAAAAATATATATGTATCAAAAATAGTGTGGCCAGCAGGACCAAGGAGGTGATTGTTCCTCTGTGCTGGGCAATGGTGAGGCCTCACCTCAAGTGTTGTGTCCAGTTCTGGGCCTCCTTGTGGCAAGAAGGATATTGGAGGCCTGGAGGTCCAGAAGAGGGAACGAAGCTGGGGAAGAGTCTGGAGCAGCCGAGGGAGCTGGGGAGGCTCAGCCTGGAGAGAAGGAGGCTCAGGGGGGACGTTCTTGCTCTCTGCAACTCTCTGACAGGAGAGGGGAGCCGGGGGGGGTCGGGCTCTGCTCCCAGGGAACAAGGGACAGGACAAAAGGAAACAGCTTTAAGCTGTGCCAGGGGAGGCTCAGGTCGGACATCAGGAAAAACTGAGGAATTTTTTCACAGAAGGGGCAGTCATGCATTGGAACAGAGTGCCCAGGGAGGTGGTGGAGTCACCATCCCTGGAGGGGTTCAAGGGAAGGCTGGATGTGGCACTCGGTGCTCTGGTCTGGTTGGTGCTGTGGGGGTCGGTCACAGGTTTCTCTCGATGGTCTTGGAGGTGTTTCCCAACCTCAATGATTCTGTGATTCTGTTCACCTCCATTTTGCAGACAGTGTTCAACATCGATCCCCCAGAAGGCAGCACAACAGGTTTCCTTCCACATCAGGCAATATCCAAATATTACAAGGTATGGGATTTTTTGTGTGCTGCATTTTTCCTCTCTGCTATTTCATCCCTGTGCTTAGTGTATCCAAGATTCAGAAGGATGTGGACAGTGTAGCAAATGATGATATTAATTACAGGAAGGGAAAAAAAAAACCAGAACAAAAAAACCCCACCAAAGGAACTATATTTAGTTCAGATTCTGAGAAGGGAGCTACACAGCAATTTTTGAAGAAACTAAAATGAAATTAGGAAAGCGCAGCAAATGTGAATTTCTGAAAACTTTGATACTGCATATTATGCAAGAATTGTTGTGTTCTTCCAGTAATCTGTTCTTTCTAGTTTAGCCCATTGCCAAGCAAGTTCAACAGAACCACTGAACGTCCTTCCCCGAAGTCGTTACAGTTTATTCAGAGTTTAGAACTTATGGGCTGTGCTGCTATAATGAATGTAAGGAACAGATCTTTTTCTAGATATCATATTAAGTTTAAAACTTGATGCTATTTTGGTTGCCAAATGAAGCAAGTCCAGAATAGTATTTTATTTCTAGCCTGCATGTTTTATGCTGGTGGAAATACCCAAGTAATGAGGTTCTTTGTTTCTGCTCAAAGCCACTCTCATAATCTGACTCAGAATGACTGGTTGAATGAACTTTTTTGGTTCTTAGAAAGTTATGAAACACTGGAAGCAAAACAGGAAAGAGGAAATAATACAGCCTTAGTAACAGTGTAAGAGTGACACTAATTACGTTAATTATTCTTAAGATGGACTGGCTTTTTTGAAGGATGAACTGCAAGTTCCTTTTTGTAGCCATTTCTAGAAATGTTTTTTATTTTCTTTCAGGTACATATTCATGTGGATAACAGTAATCAGAAAAAGAAACAAAAGACAGATGTCTGGAATTCACCATCTTCAAAAAAACAAGGTACAGGACTGATCTTGGGGAGGTTCATGCAAAAGCTGAATTGAAAACTCCTTAACTGCTCCTTTCTGGTGCAAGTAAAAGAAAACAAGCACAGCTCCATTGTGGATATGATAAGCTGAGGAGGTGCTTTTTACTTTTATAATTACTTCTAAAGGTGAGGTGACATAAACCATCTCAGTGTAAAAATTCCTTGGTGCTTTGTGAACTGCTGGAGTTCTTCTTGGGCAATTATTCCAGTGAAAGAAAATAATCTCCATGATGGAATGGTTGGTTTTATTGGTGTAGAGAAAATCTTCAGAGCAGCCCAAGAATGGGAAACCCTCCTTCAGGATTGATTCTGAGGTTTATGACATGTTCTGTTCTCCTCATACCAGCTGTATTTCTCTGCATAACTGTTGTGCTAAACACAAAATTAGTGTTGAATAAGGCCTGTAACCATGTTTTTACAAGAAGGAGACTCACGTATAGCTACGATGCTGAAAAAGTGTGCCAAAGGTATCAAAAGAGTAAACTCCATGAATGTTCTCTGTTGAAATGACTCATTGTGGAGGTGTTACAATTGGTTGGCTCATTCTCAAGCTCTGCAGTGATTTAACAGGGATCTTGGCCAGATCATGTGAATTCTTTGCCATAAAATGCCATGCCTTGGGGCACTGTTGCCTTCTCTGGGAAGACCTACTTTGAGCAACTTCCTAAGTTCTTCAGAGCGTGTTGTCAGTTCTTGATAGTTTCAGCCTTAACTATACTTTTCAGTCCTTGTTCTGTTGAGATTTCTCCCTCTCCTTGTCTCTCTCTTCCCACCTGTTTTGTTCCTTATGCTCTGCATAACTTGGGATCTGGAACAACCTCAATATAGCCATGCTTCAAAACAACATATTTAGAAGAAAAGAAACTTGGTTTCTGAATCAAAGTTTATACTAAGCCTCCTATAAAGCTGCACCGAGCTTGGCTTTGTTGGACTTCAGCATTCATTTTTTAATATATTTTTTTAATAATTAGATGGAAAACAAAAGGTTTTCTGATTGGAGAAGAGAAATACAGATCCCTTTACCTGTGCTTTCTTAACAGAACATTCTCCAAGGATCTTTGTACATACTTTGCCTCATAACTATCAACTTAGTAAGTGCTCAGTAATATGTGTTTCACAGAAGTCCTTTTATTTTAAGGACAAAAGTAACGGTTTTCAAAGAATGAATTTCCACAAATTTAATGGTTTTGCACGTAACATCCCCTTAAACGTTTCCACAAATTTAGTACTGTTTGGTTATCTGCAGATGTTTTCCTGAGATGTTGCTCAATTGGAGTTTAAAGTTACGGGAATAAATTTAAGTAGATTTAGTTAAAGATCTGTTCAGGAAAAGGCTACTACAGACACTTTGAGTTTATTGCATAATTTGGAGGATTTGTACACAAAAATACAAAGCAGTCAGAGAATTCTGTGACTTAGAAGATGCATTCTGATATATTTGCTTTTCAAATAAAAACCGTATTTACAAGTACATGTGCAACAGACCTGAGCTTGTTGAGACTTGTGCTATGTGCAAGCCTAGCAGAGGCCAGACATGACTGATCAAGTCTCTGGTTTCCTGTGGTGATATAGTTAATGGTATAGAAATAGTTTAAACATTTAAGGATAGCTGTTTTCCAATGATTTGGTGGAAATTATCCACTCAAGCATCGTTCTCTACAAACTGCAATTGGTGAGGAGAAGGGGCATAGCTTGGGATGGCTGATGAGATTCCTGCCCGAGCCATCTATGCACAGATGCTGCTTTATGTCACCAATATTGAACTGTTGCAGTTTTACATTAGGATAAAACACCCTTACTCTTGGTTTGCTCTAAATCACCATGTTGCAAAGTATTAGCAAACCATTTCTCCTTGGATTTAGCTGTCCTTGTGCCAGGAATGGAAAGAGCTGCTGCAGGGATCTGCTTTGTGTGACACCCAACACTTCCTTCTGGCGAATGGGACCTTTAAAATGGATTTAATATTGTTAAACTTAAAGACATAACTGCAGCACAGCTGACTAAAAATGTACTGCAATCCCAAGCTCTCCAGGAACTGGATAACTGGTGTCTGGCAGCCACCATGCTGTGTTAGAGAAATTTGTTTCCAGCTGAGCACTGATGAGGGAAATGTGAGTGGTTGGTGTCTTCTTCCGGGCCATCCCATATTGGCCCAGTTTGCTTTTATGCTGGAATTTCTTGGGCTCCTGACGTGAGTTTGCTCTTGTCTGTGGATACTTTTTGGCCTGTCCACATACAGATCCAAGCTGATTTGCACCAATTCTTAGTGTGATTTAAAGAGATACAAAGCTTGCTAAATTTTGGAATGTGATTTTTCTAGAATTTGGGCATTGTCTGTATGGGTTTGCCCAAATGAGATGGAATGGCAAAACTTTAGCTAAGAATAGATATTCTCTTGTAATTCAAAGCAGTAAGTGACTCACTGGACAGATATTAATGGGGATTTCCTGAAAACGTCAACTTTTTTTTGGAAATACAGGCTTGGAGTGAAGTGTGTAAATTTCAAAGACATGCCCAGATACTTGGATGTAGGTATTTATTTTTTTTTCCACTGAAACTAATCATACAGAATGGAATCAGAAACAAAAACTCATGTTTTATTTGGCTGCTCTTGTTCTTGACCTAGATATTTGTTTCCTTCCCCTGTTCCCGTGTCTCTGAGAAGCTGGTGCGAAGTTTTCAGCAAGGCCAACAGTGGTACAACTCTTAAGCTGAGCAGTGATATAAATGATTGGTGTGATTTATCTGTGTTTCTTTATATTCTTTCTGTTGATAACTTGAAGTATGCCAGATTTCCAGTGTCACACTTACTGCATATCCACATCCCACAGAAGATTTGAGCTGAAAGGTTTGGCAGTCACCTGTGGGGAAAGTGGAAAGTTTAGATGGAAGGTTTATAACCATTGGAAACTCCTCATGGAGAAAGGGTTCTTTTTTCCAAGCAAGTGAAGGGTTGGAGATATTTTCTTGTATTAGTATATTATGAGGGAGCAATGACCTTTTAATGAATAGTAATTAAATCTGGGAAGGACCAAAGCAGAACATACCATAGATCTGGAATTTTACCTTCAAATGCTGCCCGTTTTGCTTTCAGAAGTTCATATGCAATGTGCCATATGCTAATTTTCCCACGTAGACTTGCTTCCTAATGTTTTCTCTTTGTTTGATACAGGAAAGACTTTAAGCTATTGGTGTTTCAGCCCTGGCTACAGCATGCATGAGCTCGTTCGACAGGGAGTCAGGACAATTATCCTCACAAGTGGGACTCTCTCCCCCCTCTCATCATTTACAATGGAAATGCAGATGTGAGTACCTAGATGTGGGAACAGTGCCATTCCTGAAAGTGCAAATCTGCTCTCGTGACTTTAGGTTTTATTTCAGGGTTTTTGAGTGTTTTTCCAGAAAAGCTGTGGATGCCCCATCCCTGGAAGTGTCCACAGCCAAATTGGATGGGGCTTGGAGCAGCCTGGGATAGTGGAAGGTGTCCCTGCCCATGGGAGGGGCTTGGAACGAGATGAGCTTTGAGGTCCCTTCCAACCCAAAACAGTCTGTGGTTCTGGAACTGGTAGCCTGTAGGGAATCACAATGAGTATGACTGGGATCTTCACTTTGTGTTTCTTTAGCCCTTTTCCTGTTTGCTTGGAGAATCCTCATGTTATCGATAAACACCAGCTCTGGGTTGGGATCATTCCGAAAGGACCTGATGGAGCTGTGCTTACTTCTAACTATGAAAGAAGGTAATGAACTTCCATGTGGAATTCTGCTTTGAAATTTTGGGTTCCAGCATTTCGGGTTCTGCTTACAGGAGGATGCTAGTGAAGTAAGGGGGTCTCTGTAGTGCTTTTCTTGGATAAACACTGTGCTGAATAACAACACCCTTTAACTGCTACTACTGAAAATTTAGAATTTAGAACTTTAGGTCTGGAATGGGTCAGATGTCGAGGCACTGATAGTCCTTATTGGCCCTGGCCAACCTCAGCTTGGACTTTCACCCACAACCCTGTCTCTTACAGAGCAGTCACCCTCACAGACATGGAACCCCATCCTAAATTTCTTAGCTGAAGACTTAATTGACTGAAACATGTTTGCCACAAATATTTTTATATTTAAAGCTTCTCACCATAACCAGTCTCTCTTTCAGCTCTGTGTTGCCTTCTTAAGGAAAACATATCCAAATGTTTGTCAAGCTTTTGTTCATAGTTTTTCTTACTTTTCTCTGGTCTTCCATCATTTTGCCTCTGTCTTTGTGCTGTTCAGAGCAGACAGTGTTTCTGCTGCTGGCAGAGAAGGCCAGATGTTCCACAGAACTGGAAGGGGACTCGACATCTGTAATGGATCTTTACAGAGAAGCTGTAGTCTGAAAAAACCTCAGGCTGCATTTGTCATCTTCAGAAGTTTAACGTGCCATTTCAGTTTTTTTCTGTTGAAGATATTGTCCTTTAAAAAGGGAAGGTTGAGGATTCCACCCTCCCCTAAGGGCTAGAACAAGGATTTTTTTGGAAGAAGGGAATTCACAGAGTTCACTGTGTTTTGGCAACATCTGTATGGTGATACTGGTGTTTGTAGGGCTATAAAAACATCTATGTTAGGTTTTTTCCCTGCATGTATAATTTTTCTGGGAAAGCAGTACACAGAAGTACAGGGCAGCAAAAGAAACCTAAAGACATGAGAGAACAGGTGAGTTTTCAGTCAGGGCTGGAAGAACATAAATATGGCTCATTGGAGAGCAGGGCTTTTCAGTTGAAGATGAAGAGATTTACTATGAGTAAATAATAACCACAGTAACCAAATTCACCCTTTTTGCCCTGTAGCAACCACACCTAGTTGATCAATAATTATTTTAAATAGTTTTAACATTAGCAGGCTTGGCAGCATTGTAGACTTCTCTGGCAGAACTCTCACTTTTATGTTGTTAGTATTAATCATAAAACTCATATGGCTTCCCATTTCTATTTGTGCATTTTGAAAGTATTGAAGTTTAGATGATCTGTGCTTAGTAATAGGAATATTTCATAGTATTAGTAAAGTGTAGTCAAGGTATTACTAATTTTTGTCCTTGGTATGGGTACCTGCCACAGGAAGGAGAGCAATTGGGAGTCTGGATATGCTATTTTAGGTTTTAGATGATTATGATATTTAGATGTGTATGAAAAACATAGAAAAGGAACTACAGTGATGTTACTTGATTTTTCTTCTTTGTAGGTTTTCAGAGGATTATTTGTCTTCTTTGGGAAAAACAATTGGTAAGTGGAGTGTGTGGATTTCAGAAATGAGTTGATGACCACAGTTTTTAGAAATCTAAAAAGAGCAATACTAAAGAAGGTGCAATAACAGGAAGGTAAAAGATCACAGTGCAGATCTGAATGCTGTTTGGTTTTGTGTACTTGTGTTTGCTCAGGCAACTGGCTGCTGTGATAGCACACAAAAATGAGTTTGAGTCCCTGGCTTAATGTTTCCAAGTCAGGAGTAAATTTTTATTGTCAGGAGTTTGTGTTTGGGTCAAAAATGTGATTCCTAAACACGGAAGGTGACAGAAACTAGAAAATTAGAGGTGATGCAGCCAAGGGCCATTTGCAGAGCAATTAAGGATCACATGAAATTAGTGCAATTTCTTGTCTTGTTTCTGTTGTTTTTCCTCTCCAGTCTGGATTCTCCATTCCAGGATGAAAAAGTCCTCAGCTACACACTTGTTTGTCTCGTTGCAGGTAACATTGTGCGAGTTGTACCACATGGGCTGTTGGTGTTCTTCCCATCGTATCCTGTCATGGATAAGAGCCTGGAATACTGGAGAGTATGTTTATTGCTCTGCCTTTATTGGGTGGTTTGGTTACACACACTGGACAGTTTGTAGTTATGCTATTTAACCATGGTAATTAAAAACCTTCTAGTGGAAGGTTCCATACTCATGGCAGGGGGTTGGAACTTAAGATGATCTTAAAGATCCCTTCCAACCCAAGCCATTTTGGGATTGTATGAAAAATCCTTCGCTAATAACTAAGTTATAAAATCTGGTCAGGCTTCTTTTATTTTGATCTCAGTACGCTGGAGTGCAGTGGTGTAGAAGTGGGGAAGCAGTGACCACTTCTGAGCGTTTCTGTTCTCGTGGGCACTTCTGGTATGTGCTCACTTTGACATGACATTTCTGATCTGTTCCTTGTCTGTTTAACAGGAGCATGATTTTGCTAAAAGAATAGAAGAAGTGAAGCCAATGTTTGTGGAACCCAGGAACAAAGGAAGCTTTTCAGAGGTTGATTATTTGCATTACATGCCTCTATCAACTTCAGAAACTGTATTTATGTTGAAATACCTCCTCTAAGATGTGTTTAGGTGTGAAACACCCAAATTTTTATCCTAGGATGAAATTAAAACTCTGAGTGCTTCTCTGAAGTGTAATTCTTCTGTGCATCCTTCCTGTCCTCTCTTGGATGGTTGTGCAGGGTACAGTCTTCATTTAAATCCGGTGATGTAACAGCAGCTAAAACACACATGTGCTGAGTAATCGAGCCGCTAGAAAGCTGTCACTTGAGTAGTCACCGTTTGTTAATGTTCTGCAGGACTTTTCCTCCCAGCTCATCATGCTTTCCCAGCGTTGAAGAATTGTGCAGTGTCATCTGTTTATTTATAGCCCTTCTGTTTGCTTCTTAGAGTAAATAATATCCGTGAGTTGCTTTCCTGGTTTGCCAATTTTACTTAAGGATCTGCAGAAACACAAGACAGTCCGTGTTTTACCCCCTTATCAGAAGTATCTGACATTAATCTTTTATGCTTACCCAGATGTGTTCTAGATTTCACAGTGGTGTAAAGGTTTTGCTAAGAAAATGGGTCCTCACATTTGCAATTAGTTGAAAGCAAACACAATTGTACTAAGCCAAATTAATCACTTTTGAGATCTTAAGTGTACAAGTCAAATTTAGTTAGTACAGGATAATAACCTTCCTGCTCTTACTTAAACTTGTTTATATTTTAGGTGATTGATGCCTATTATGATAAAGTCATCTGTCCTAAGTCCAATGGAGCTACATTTTTGGCAGTGTGTCGGGGGAAGGTAACTGGGAATTTGTTTCATCTGAGATAAGATTATAGAGTTGACAGAAAAAAACAACACTCTGGATTTCAGTACATTTCCGTTATTTGACTGTAATTATATGTGGGGATAAAACCAAGTGCCCTGAAGCTTTTCCATAATTAGGTCACGTTTATATCTGCCTCGTTGCTGTTACTGTTAAAGGGACACAGATTTGATGTCTTTAAAATGGATGAGTATCATAGTTATATTTCATGTTGGCTGCTCACCAAGAACTTAACACATTAGATGAGAATTGTTTTGGAGAATTGTAATTAAACGTGTTAGAACAGCACTGCAGAAAACCAAAAGTATTCCTTAGCTTCAAAACACATTATCTTCATGTTCTCTGGACACATTTGATGGCCTTTCCTTTACATTTTCCAATGCTGATAAATTGACTTATGTTTATCAGTAGAAACATTTGCAAAATCAGAAATTACTCTTAGAGCCTTTTTGCTGCTGCTTACTGTGTAGCAAGAGAAGACCCAACTTGTTTTGAACCTTTGATCCCAGTCTCCAAAGAGGTTTTTGGATCAGTGAAGAAAAGACATAGCTTTCTCCAGTCTCATAGCTGAGATTGGAGAACTGATTCAGCTGCAAAACAAACCAACTTTTTTTCCCCTTTAATTATTTTTCAGTCTGTTTGATTCTCTGATTTTGTTAAGTGATTTGCCAGCACAGTGAGCATGTACAGGGCACGTGAGTGACAAATACTTGATGGGATGTCAGCAGCACAGCTGGTGGACATGGCACTGTAGTCTGAATTCTGAGCAGATTTCTGGCAGGTTTCTGTTATTGCTTTGGAATGATTCTGTTCATTTTTACTGTCAGAGAAGGTTTATTGTGTTCTTACCATGTCTTGTTAACAAGTCAGGGTATGGATGGTTTAAACATAGGTGTTGACTGACATTTAAGATGTTCTCAATACAGCTGTAGTGCTTATCTGGGAATAAGACAGGCATTAACAGTGTTGGCTGAGCTATGCTTTGTCAAGGTCTGCTGGAGGAAAAAAACAAGTTTAAAGTCTTGGTAATAAAAGCAAAAAATATAGTTGAAGCTATTCATAATGTATTCATAAACTACACTTGGCCAGGCAATTAATTGAATGGAGAAAAATGGCCAACAACTGCTGAATTGCTCTGAAATGTCACTTCGAACCCTGTTGATAATGGAAAATTCTGTCTCTTCAGGCCAGTGAAGGCTTGGACTTTGCAGATACAAATGGACGAGGAGTCATCATTACTGGGCTTCCATTTCCCCCTCGTATGGAGCCCAGAGTCATTTTGAAGATGAAGTTTCTGGATGAAATGAAGAGAAGTGGTGCAGGTGCACGGGTAAGACTGGGCAGCTTTTCCCTGGTGGCTGTTTGCAGGTTTGTGTTATCGTTTTTCCCTCTTGTCCCCGTGGGGTTTGGATTTTTCTCCCAGCCCTATGGAAGCATGGATACCAAAAAGCCAGACAACCTTGGGAGTTTGTCACAAATGTAGTCACCTTGTTTTCAAATTCAAATTCCAGTGGCACAGTCTCAAACAAATATAGGCTCAAAAAAAGGCTGTAATTAAAGTTTAAGTCAAAAATCTTTTTATGTGTTACCCATCTCTCTCTCTGAGGGATTTATTTCATCCAGAGAGAGCATGAGTAGGAAGAATTGCCTGTGCTGGCTACTTTGGGGATTGTGGGTTAGGGGGTGTGGTAATGTGTGTTGGGGTTTTTGTAGTTTGTTTTGGATTTGGTTTATTATTACTTCAGGCACGAAAATGAATGACGTTATAATTTAGTTTGTTCTGCAGCACAGTCATGCATAAATAATATGGTGAGTCTGTTGTACTGCCAAGGCTGTCAGTGCACCTTATATGAAATAGCCCCTCAAGATGGATGTTGCTACTGGAGTTTTCTGTGCTCTATAATTCAGGTGTGATATTTGAGTCAACCTGTGTTTGGTTTTCTTCGGCTCTTCGAGATTTGTCAATACCTCTTGTCGAGTGCCTCTTTTTTTTTTTTTCTTAATTTCTTTAGAAAAAAAATAGTGACTGTACAGCATGGAGAAAACATTTTACCTGGTAAATAATATGAATTCTTCCTCCCACCTCTTGCAGTACCTGTCTGGGCGTGAGTGGTACAGTCAGCAAGCGTCCCGGGCTGTCAACCAGGCGATCGGCCGGGTCATCAGGCACCGCCAGGACTACGGTGCCATCTTCCTGTGTGACCAGAGGTAAACCTGGGCTCTAGGACACAAGCAAACACCATAGAATCCCAGAATGGTTTGGGTTGGAAGGGATCTTAAAGCTCATCTCATTCCAACCTGCTAGACCAAGTTGCTCCAAGGCCCATCCAGGCTGGCCTTGGACACTTCCAGGGGTGTGGCATCAGCAACATCAACAACTTCATATCTCAGCATGGGTATTTTGTGTACAAATGTGCTGATGTTGCTTCTGAAGAAAGCTACAGTTCATAATAATTGAGTTATTTAACATAGCAATTTATATAAATATTGCACCACTTTAAGAAAGTAACCAGATTGTTATCTCCTGCCCCCCAAATATACAGTCTTGGAGCTGCAGAAGGAGATTAATGGTATTAAGGGAAAATGAACCAGTTTGTTGAATTCATGTTCCTAATACCTCTGGAAATTATGTGATAATAATTTATAGTTTTGCATTTTTTCCATCTTTCACTTGAGAAGGCAGTCACCAGCACTCCATTGTTTTGAGGAGGATGGGAATGAGGACAGATTATATTAGAGAAACAATACTATGTATATCAATATACTATAGTAAAATTATACTGCATTAATATCCTTTCATTAAATGTTAATATAATAGGTATATTATGGGTAATAAGAGTTTGATAGGCATCAATGCTGAGGCTCGACTGGGGACAGTCTGGGTTCAGTACTACTGTTCATGTTACCCAGTTACAGATTTTATGGACAAAAGATAGGAATTGCCTGATTGCCTGGTATGTGGTATCAACAAAGCCCTTTTCTCTTGAGTGAAGACATCACCCCATTATATTTACTGCACTGTTTCCAACTTCAGTTGTCTTGCTACCCCTCCCTTTTCCCTTTAGACACTGATCTAGAATTTGTTGATTTAATTTAGCCCAACCTGGCAATTAATTCTCTTGTTTTCCAATCGTACACAGGTTCACAACTGGGGCTGTAAGAGGCAAACTGCCCTCGTGGGTCCGTCCTTACGTGAGTGTTTATGACAACTTTGGCCACGCAGTCAGAAGTGTCTCCCACTTCTTCCGCGTTGCTCAAGAAACTGTAAGTGTCTATAAAAAAACCCTCACAAAACACACAGCAGATTTCCTTAATAGTATTGGAGACTGGGAATCCTAAGCCAGGTCAGAAATGTGAGAGAATCACAGATGATGTCAGATTGGAAGGGACCCATAATAATCACTGAGTCCAGCTTGTCACTCCTCACGGGACTTAACACAGAGTCACTTGTCACTTCTAAGCATTGGAAGATTTACAGGAAAGAAGATATGCCTCATCTTTCTCCAAGGGTGAGCTGGAACAGGATGTTGTTGTTGTGCTGGGCAACTCATTAGGTTAGATCACAAAAATAACTTCCTCTTCCAGTTCCTCCTGAATAAACATGGCCTCTATTGGGTGTTATGCAAATCCTGGAACCGATGTTGGCATCCAAAAGCTTTTTACCTCAGGGAGAAGGCATATGTGTGGAAGAACTGGTCATACCCTCACATTTAAATTGAAGCTGACTGGTATAAAGAGTAAGACAAACTATCAGTTGTTATTGCAGTTCATCACTGGGTCATCTTTACTAATACAGCTTCTCTCTTAGCATTAAGAAAGTGGTATTGTCTGTAATAGTTCCTTGATGCAAAAAGTAATGTTGTAAAAAGACTTCCTAATTGACTGGAGGAAGTTACAGAAAGAAACAGGCTGGAAGCCAGAATGGAGAATTCTTTGTTCCCAAAACGGAGGTTAAGATTAAAATAAACACTTAAAATTTCACATACAGACTTGGATGAGTTCCTGGAAGACACTTTAGGCAAATACAAGTTGTTCAGACAAATAAGTTACAGATGGCTGATACTGAATGACTTGATCTTTTCTTATCATCAGTGAGAGTTTTGTGGTAAATGAGAACCCCAGTCTGATGTGCTTTGCCAGAAGAAGCTGCATTAGGAAGTGGTTGTTCTTTAGAAGGTCATGATCCTTTTTCTGGTACCAACTCACTTAAGTGCTGAGCCTGCTTACTACACTTCATCTGTGTCACTTCCAAGCTGTTTGATCCTTTTCTTCAAAAGCCCATGAATCCAGACTGTTTAACAATCATGCTATCAAGGGTTATTTGGGGAAAAGGAGATGTCTTTGGGTTGTTGCTGAGATTTTTGGTTGCAAAGGGAGCGGAGTAGAAAAATGGCTTTTGCCTGTTGTAACACTTTGCAAACTGCTTGCAGATGCCCCCACCCCTGCCCCAGTGCCCTCCTGGCCATGCTGGTTCCCTAAGTGACAGCAGTTCAGCACCATCTACTTCATCTGAGCAGATCCCCTCCGTCAAAAAAGCGAAAAACTTGGATGACCATGTCCCCAGTTTGAAGAGGAAAAGGAAAGGTAGGTTTGTGTCCTCGCAGATACGTCTTTTTGTTTTGAGCTGAACTGAGAAAAGGAGGATCAAGAGACTAGAAAATGAAATGGGAAAGAAAGCAAGGAGAGTTCAAAGACTGATGGAAACATCTGATCAGAAGGGACATGGTTAGGCAATAGAAAATGGAGGAAACCAGTTGTAATTACAGAGCAAAGAGGCAGATGGGGCCTGAAAAAGTGCCCCACAGAACAGGAATTTGGTGGAATATCACAGGTAGTTTTGAAAGTGAGAACTGGAAGTTTCTGACTAATACTGACTTCAATATGTTCCTCTTCCATCCTGTTGTATAAATGACTCTTACTCAGTAATCTGGCTAAGAAAAGAAAAAAAAAAGGACATTGGAACAAAACAGTGTTTTAAATTTTGTGGTTAGCTAATGCTGCAGGATAAAGCATTTCTCATGTCAGATATTTCAGCACTCTAGATTGCTTGCTGGTTTGGAACAGAACAATGCACTTGTGTTTAAAGCTCTGGTTTCAAACCGGTTATGAGCAAGTGTGAGGGTGATTTGACATTAAATTTAAGCCAGTGTTGACTGCTGATTGTTGTTGAAAGGGATTACTTTGGCTGCCACTTTTTTCCCCCCGTCAATTCCCAGCTGTGCAGTTTCGCTCCTTCCTTTGATTTGAGTCCATCTCTAGTGCAACTGCAGAGTGAGCAGATGAGCTTTGCTGAAGCAATTTACCTTCCATCCCCTTGACTGGTAGATCCAGCTCAAAGGATGGGCTGGAATGTGGGACTGGAGGTGAAGGGAAGAAGCTGCATTGCCTGTTTTGAAAGGAATTTTCAGTTGCTTTGCATCAACTGGAACGTCGAACGTGCCTGTAATCATAGTTTTGTCTAGAGTTTTTTGTACTGACTTTTCAATTTATATCACAATATGCTCCCATTCTTCTCAAAATGGTGACTTTTCTTAGTAACTGGCTGTTGAAGTAATTTCACAAAGTAGTGGAAGTACATTTTTTAAGAGAATGACTTATAGAAGTATCAAAGTGATACTAATTTAACCCTACTTGCAGCTCTAAATCCTTATATTTAAAACCAAATATACCTGGATCCTGATTAGTGGAAATATGTATTCTTGCAACCTTGGTGACAGTGTCTTACAGGTACTGATACTGGGAGAACTGTAGGCTTTAAAAAAACTTGTTCTCTTTAAAAATAATAAATCATGTTTCATACCAAAATCTCTTAGAAACCCAGTTTTGGGGAAATCCACAAAGCTGAAGTAATTAAAGCAGTAAGACTTTTCCCCATTGATCCTAAGCTATTTTGAGGTTAAATAAGACCATCACTTCAGGGAAAGTTTGAAAGCAATCTACCAGGTTGTGGTAACAAATGCTTGAGCAATTTTGGGCGTGATTTATGAAAGCAGTCTTCTTACGAAGTGATAAAATGCAAGTTTGGAAGATGTGGAAGATTATTTAATCCACCAGCACGTCTTTGTGGATTGCTTCGCAAGACTGGGAGGTATCACTCAGTCAAAGAAAATGCAAGAGATGTAATGTGGAATGTTAATTTGTCGTTTGTGATATGCTGTTCATGCCAGTAAAGGGAGAGGGAACATCCAGCCTGTGTGTGGAATATGAACAAGAGTTTGTCTCGCCCAGAAGAAAGTGTGTTGGGCTCTTGGATGCCCTGGAGCGCAGTGAGAAGAGCAGTGAAGATGCAGAGGAGGAACCTGACTTGCCAGGAGAGGAAAAGGTAGTGGCAATGGTGTGCAGAATACTTGTTTATAAGTAAATATCACAGGCTTTAAAGCAAAATGGGTTTAGCATTAAGAGTTCCAGCTCAACCCTCTTTCAAAAAACTCACTGTAATCAGCACTGATAGATAACTGCAGGTTCTCATAATTAATTTAATCAAAGGGTTTCCTTGCCACGTTCAAGTAGATGATCAACAGGTAGGTGCTTGTACTGTGCTCCAAGGCTGCTGACCAGGTGGATTCCTGGAAGTTAACCACACTCTCTGGGAAGCAAAGAGCTCTCAGAGGAGAGGTTGTTAAATACAGTTTGTCCTGGGTGGAATCTGTGTCAGCTCTTTGTGTGAGGCCAGATATTGAATTAAAAAAAGGGTGGGGGAGGGTTTATGAATTAGAAATTGCTCTTTGAGATTAAAATCTTTGATTTGCCTCAGAGGATGAATGTTGCAGACTTGTGGAATATTTTATCTAAATCAAGAATCCACTATCGCATTAAGATCAACAAAGCTGCTTCTGTGCTGTTCATTTTCTTTCCTCTTAGATTGGTATTTTTAATGCATCAGTGGTTAGGCTGTATTCCTGCTTTCCCAAAATCCCTGTTTGCAGTTGTTGGAGGGGTGGCTCCCTTACCTGGCTGCCATCAGAGGAGTATTTTGGTGCTGGCTTGCAAACTAGCACGTGGACTTCAGGAATGCCTGTTGTAGCATACCCAAGTAGTTTGCTTAGGAGAAGAATGCCTGCAGGAAAATGCGGAGGTGTAGGAGTATCTGGGGAATATTTGAGGAGGCCTAAGGGAGATGGAGACATGTACAAAACAGAGGGAATGTACCAAGGATAGCAAATATTTAACTTGTGTGCAGCCAAGTGGGAAATGGACTCCACCACCCATGAGCCGCCGTGGCACAGACACCAAAACTTATTCTTTGGAAAGCCTGGCACGTTTCCAGGGAGTTGGTAACTCAGCTACAGTGCCTTCCTAACACAGCTGCACTGCTTTTGGCAGAGCTCAGCGTTTCCTGGAGCTGATAGACTTGATGGCTTGGCAGTCACTCAGCTGGTGTCCTCTTTCTCTGTTTGGCAGTACTGCTTCTCTGAGGCTTGTGCAGAACTCTGGGGTCATCCTGTGCTGCTCCTAAATTGGTGACCCGAGTGTAGCCCTGAGACATGCAGGGCCTCTGAGGGAGCCAGCTTTCACTCTGAGTCCAGCCTGGAGCTGATTTACTCAGTACTGGATTTGGACTGAGGATGGAGTTGGTGTGATTTCCTCTATTTCTTCACTGTCCAGCACAGTATCTGTGTTACCATTTTTTCTTTTATCAAGGTTATACTGCATCCTTGTTCCCTAAAAAATGGAAATTTAGCTGCTGTCATCCTGAAAGAATTTGCTTGCGGTAAAAAAGAATAAAAGTCTTTGTCATCTCAAAAAATCAAAATGCAATAAATAGTCTCTCAATCCATGTAAATAATGACTTGGCAGTTCCCCATAATCAGATTTCCTTGTGAGATATGTCTCATGGAAACTTGTCTTGGAAGCCTTATTTCTGCTGGATCCTGCTGTTCAAGGTGGTGCCTTTACATAGCACAGGAGTAAAAGATGGTTTTGATAATTTTTCTGACTTACTGTGTGTATCATACATATTCTCTTGCTGCTTATATTCCGATTCTTCATTCCCTGTCATGATGCTTAAATAAAATATATCTAAATGTGCACTTAAATTGTGGTCAGATTTGTCTAGAATTGGGTGTCCTTGCAGTATTAGGAGTGTACTGAACGTTGTATTTCTGGGTACAGCAACAGACTCCACAAATTGGCTCATCTGAAATTATTGGCCAAAGGAGTTGTTTATTTTAGTAATGGTGTTTAGTTGCAGTTAGTTTAATTTGGCTCTGAAGCTTTGTGATCTGAATAGCCATGTTTGGAAGTCACAGTGGAATTTAGGGATGCTCTTATGTTTCACTGTTTCCTCTCACAAGTGAACTTAAATGAACTGATAGTCACATACTTGCCATGAAATTTTTATTGGGCTAGAGCAAAGAAGTTACTCATTCCACATTCCTGCTTTCTCAGCAGGTGTGGAGACCAGCTGGCAGTATGGGGCTGTCCTGCAGCTTCTTCTGTTCCTTGAGTGATTGTGTTTAAGGTGGTTGATACTGATCTAATATTGGAGCCTCTGCTTTTAAGCAATTCCAGTCCTCTTTCTTGAGAGCCATTCTGTGTTACTGGGAATGGGAGCTGCTGAAGAGCTTGTTCACCCACAAGTGTTTCTGCTACTGTCTCATCCTACCTGCCTGATACATTTTCTATAACACTGCTTAGGCTTCCCTTCTCAGTATCCCAAAAGCCTGATAGGTGTTTTCTTCACAAAGAGAAGGACTTCCAGGCAGGAAAGTGAAGGGGTATCTGAGCCATTGGTTACACACAGGTCTGTGTACGCTCCCAGACTGCCCTGGAATGGTCTGCTATGAGTCCAGTTTTGCTTGATCAGGAATCAAGACCAGCTTTGTCTTTAATTTCCTCTGTTTTGGTCTCTCTTTTTGGCTTGTCCTGTAAATTATTACCTTCTGGAAACAGATATGTTGCAATAATTTAGGTTGACTTGTTTTACTTTGTCAAATGGTCTCTCAAACTGAGTTAACAAGCTTTACTACTGGAAATATCTCAATTAAACAGACAATAACTTTGAAAAGCATTTTTTTTGTATGTTTCTTATTGTCTTTTTGTCTTCACAGGCACATCGTCTGTCTACACTTTCCCTTCAGTATGAGAAGAAGTTAACAGATGAGCAGAAAGGAGGAAGGAAGAAAATAAAGCTAGTCAGCAATACAGTATGTGTTTCCCTGTGTCGGTGCCATCCCTTTGATCTGTAGATTGCTCTAATCTGAAATGGAAATTTCCAGGCAGATAGATGACTGATGCCAAAACAAGCATGGAGAAAAATCCAAATTGTAAATACTTAACAGTGCACATCTGAAATCTATTTCATGATCTTTCCCAAATCCAGACATCACAGACCAAATCAAGTATAGGTCCCAGTAGAGCTAATAGGTGAAAAGAATTGTTTTCTGGCATTGAATGCTTTGTGAACAGCTTCTCCCAGTGACCAGGTGTGGTGGGTGGTTTCATCTTTTCAGTAGAATGGAATACTTCAGCTGGGAGGAACCTACAGTGATCAGCTGGTCCAGCTGCTGGTAGAGCCTCAAATGGTTTAACTGACCCATTTTGGGTAAGGGATCACATCCAACCCCACCCTGAGGTGGGTCATCATTGTGTGTTAACTTTGCAGTTGTGCATTGTAGTTTTGCCCTGTCTCCAAACTCAGTTAACTCATTAGGCAGCTAATTGCTTAAGAGTTACTATAAATTCAGGAAAATTCCCTGGTTGACTGTGCACCAGTAGTTGTCCAAGGTGCTGTCCTAACTGGATGTTACCTGTCTGTCAGTCTGTCAGTCACCTGGCAAACGAAACTGATCCTGGAGCCGATAATATCCAGGAGAAGGGAGAGAAGGAAGAGAACAGGTTCATGCAGAAGGTTGTGTTTGCAGTTTGTTGGTGTCTGATGTCATGATGAGTCAGCTCAGCCTCCAGGCTTGGAGTAAATATCATTTTATCAACCCTTCTCCTAAGAATATAATTGTGCAATGATTATTGGCTGCCTTCTCTAGGAATATTTCCCTGAAGCAGAGAAGGTGAATAATACACGGATACAGGGGTGACTACCAAAACTACAACCTGTTAGGTGAAAGCATTCATAGTTTCATGGTGAACATGGTGGTGGTGCTGGGTGAACGTTGGACTTGATGATCTTAGAGATCTTTTCTGACCCTAATGATTCTGTGATTCCATGATACCAGCACGTTCAGCGTGCTGTCAGAATTGTAAACATACTGTTTCTACCTGAATTCCTGTGAAAGTAACTCAAATCATTCTGTACTGAAATTCCTTCCTGCCCTCCCAGCAGGCCCTTAGGAAAGCTGAGCTGCCAGAGCCAAAGAAGGCCCGAGCCACATCGTACATCAACACACTGAAGGAGACCCTGAGCCAGCAGAACTATGAGCTCTTCTCTAAGGCTCTGCAGCAGTACAAGAAGACAGATGACTTCCATACCATGTTATCCGAAATGAGCTCCCTCTTCATAGAGGATGAGAAAAAGCACGTCTTGTTACGAGGTACACCTGGTGTATTTTGTGTACCCCTGGTGTATTTATGTGACCTGACTTTTGTCTTTTAAGTAAACTTGGGTATTTCGGTAGTATTTTAGATTTGAAGTACAGATCAGTCAGGATGGTCATCCTGAACATTCATCACTTTATCTCCCCAGACCACACAGAAAATCTTCTCAGTGTAATTATCAATGTTAGCTTGCATCTTGACTTGAAGAAATTCACATTCCATGGAAGTTTGTGTTATTTGAGACTTTGTCTAAAAGTACTGTAGCTTATTCCCTGTGACTTATGAGTTCAAGAGTGTGGCTGGGTGAGTTGGATACATGCATTCATAAGGATTCAGTGTTAAAGCAGTAAATAAATAGACAGAATATCTAGAGAAATTTTCTGTTTAAATAATGGTAAGTATAAAGCAAAGGGTCTGGGCAAACATGGATAGTTACTGGATTAGCTGGTATTTTCCTGACTTTTAACAACTGCACTGACAGGAACTGAACTCCCATCAACATTTCTTCTAGTTTAACAGTGTTTTCTGTGTGACTTCTCATTTCTCTCTCAACTTGTGAAGAAATGGGCAGGCTTTTCTCTGACTTTTTTCATCTTCTGAAATAATAAAGGCTTAGTTATGCGTCTCGTGAGGTAAAGCCTAAAGTTAAGGAATGGGAAGCTCAGTATGAGCACTCAGTACTAATAGTAACCACAACTGGTTTCCCAATTTGCTGATGATCTATATAGATAAGAAAATATTTGATAATCAAATCAAGGTCTGAGTCTAGTTTTCAAGAGTGTCAGGCACCTGAAACCTAAAGCTGATTTGATGTTTAGGCTTCTGGTTGGCAAACACTCTGTAGTGAATAAGTAATGTGAGGTGTAAATTAACAGTCTATCAGTTATTTGAAGTATCAGCCTCGCAGATACTTGGACCTCATGGTTTGAGTCACATCATGTCCTGTTTCACTGGGAGGTGTTCCTTCATATTTACAGTGAAAAAATGACAGTTTTTACCTACTGATAATAATTTTGCTCAGTGTTTGCATGGTAGCTGACCTTTGTGTAACTTAAAAGTGTGCTTATTGTATAAATATTAGATAAGGGTATTTAGATTTTAATTAATTTAGCTGCACCTTTTTATCTTCTTATTGCCTAACTTTGAAGTCCCGCTGTTGTAGGTTTCTGTAGCATTTGTGGATTGATTTTTTTTCTTCTTCTTCTTTTTTTTTTCTTTTTTTCCTCCTTCTTCCTTCTCTCTAATGAAAGAATTTTACCAGTTTGTTCGACCTCAGCATAAAAAGCAGTTTGATGAAGCGTGCTGCAGCCTGACTGGAGAGGGCTGTGGCTACAAACCTGAGCACAGCCTCCTGCTGGAGGAGAGGGAGATCCTGGCCAAGAGAGCAGGTGAGGAGCTGGTTTCAGTTGTATTGTTTGAAGGATATTATCCAGTCTTAGAGCAAGATGTGTCTAATACAGAAATGCAAGGATGGAAGGCAATTTAATTTAATCAGTGCTGAGCTAAGTCTCTGCTCTCCATGATCCTCTTGCCTTCCCCTGAGCATTAGTTACTGCAGAGTTAGTAATGATGCCAGTTTATTTCAAAAGGTGATTTTACCGATCTATTTAAATCATTCATCTAGTCTGGGGATTTAAAAACCTTGTTTGTCTTCTTTGCTGCCCACGTAGTGCCACCAGAATTGTGAATAGGCAGTGATAGTGTCCTCACAAAGCTTGTGAAATCTTTGAAACCGTGAAGCAATAAAGTTCTAAAAAAAGCAGGGTCTTGGCTCATCATCAGAGAAGTACCTCTGTGTGGAGTCCCAGAATGGTTTGGGTTGGAAGAGACCTTAAAGCTCATGCAGATCCACCCCCCAGCCATGGGCAGGGACACCTTCCACTAGACCAGGTTGCTCCAAGCCCTGTCCAACCTGGCCTCGAACACTTGCAGTGATAGGGCAGCCACAGCTTCTCTGGGTTGTTCAGGTGTTTTCAGCATAGGATGGCATACTTTGAAATGCACCTTTCTTTGTTCATTCTTCCCTAAATTCACTGTTAATGGACTGGTTTTATTTAGCAGAATCAAAACAGAGTCAGCAGAAAAGTGCATTCTCCAAGGCCTCACGTGCTCAGCTGAACCCTGGGCTCCACCTGAACCAGGGAGGATTCCACTTGGCAACACGACTGAATAGTGCAGGTACCCTTCATGTTTAATAAAGACACAGTCCCAAGGCAAGACCTGTTATGCTTTACTTCCCCTCTGACTGTCAGTTCTCCTAGTGGGAACCAATGTTTGTTGTGCTCACCCAGCACAGTGGCTCACTCCCTGTAGGTAGAAGTGATGGTAATTCAGAATTTTCAGCAGAGATCACACAAAACAAAACACAAAAGCCAGTAAATTAAATCAATGTGGATATGAAAGAAACCAGCTGAAGCCAGACTTTTGCACTGAGAGACTGAGCTGGGAAAAGGGTGAGTTGAGCACAAGTCTGCTGGGCTTCCTGTTTGTCCAAGGTCTGTGAAAGAGAGCCAGTTAAGTGATGTAGCTTTAGATTACGTCAGTCTGAATCCAGGTATGAAGACAAAACCGTTTCTGTTTTGTTCTGGGTGTAATGTGTGCATTCCTCCTGTGGACAGTCTGTTTTTTCTGCAGAAACAGAGAGTAGCAAACGTAATCTTTGTGTGCATCCCTCTAACCTCACTCTGCCCATTATTTATCTTTGAACTCAAAGGCTCAGTTATTATTTGATTACTGGTCTTCCTGAGAAAAGCTGGGAATTTTTTGTATTTCTCACAAGGAAATGAGTGGGATCGTTGGACAACTTAGAAGTCTTTCTTTGAAGGGTAAAGAATAGTCAAAGATTAATCCCTTCTTTAAAAAAAAAAAAAAACAACAAACAAACAAAAAACCAGTTTCCTGGAAGGCTTTAAAAGCTTTTCTTGTGTGAAGCCATGTTGTTCTTTTGATTTGTTTTCCCTTTTGTTTTGTATTTTAAGAATATTCAAATATTTTAAGGATATTTGAATAAAACAGAATATTTGGTAATTATTTTGTCCTGAAACCATTAGAGTGGTTTCACAGAAACTTGTTTCCACTAAAATTAATTAAGAAAATAATAGCAATAAATGGATATGTTGTTTCTGTTGCTCACTTCTTAAGTAGAAAACACTCCCATGGAAGTGTCAGAAAGCTCTAGGATACTGATTATAAAATGCACACCCAGGCTTTTTCCTTTTCAGGAAATTGAATGAAGCCCATGTTTTGAAACTTAAATATCTTTATCCTTCTCTAAAGAACTTTTAAAGATCTAAATGCCAAAAGATAAGGCAGGTTAATGAAATCAATTTCTTACCATATCCTTCATCCGTATTTGCATGCCTGTAATATGCAAACCAGAACTTTTTCCTCTGAAACATATCAGAAATTAAAGATTGAGATTTAGAACAAAGTCCACTTGGAGTTCAGCAGGATGTTCCAAGCAGCTCCTACCTTCTGCTGTCCTCCTGCATTGCTCTTGTGCTCTCTTGAGTGTTATTTCAGATTAGATAGTCTTTTTGACATTATGTTTTCCTGCTGGAAAACACCCTGCCCCACCTTTTCTCCTTCAATTGTCAGGGGGTGAGTAATCTGTCCTTTAAAATTGCCCATATGCCAGGCCAGCAGAGTTGCCTGACCCATCTGTTTAAGATGCTTTTACTCCCTCAGTGGAGCACAAAGCCTGATTTATTGCTGACCTCCATGCACAGTCTTCTGTGTCACCTTTTGCTCATTCCTTAGCAACCTTCTGACACATTTCTCCATTTGAAAATATCAAAGAACTCCAGAAAATGCTAAAAGTGATCCCCAGAATTATTTTGCTCCATTCCCATTTCCAGGAGCAGATCTGGCTCTGCCAAGGCCATGCTGGAGGGAAGTGTGTGACTGGGCAGGTGGGGTTGGCTTTCCCACATTGAAGTAGTCCAGAAACCCCCTGCAGATGAAATGAGAAGTCAATATGATGGAGTGACCCGTTTGTTCTGTTCCTCTTCAGGCTCTTCTCACGTGTTCTTTGTCTCTCAGGGCGCAATGCCAGTGGAGCTCCAAGGAAAGAGGCTGGAAGGCCTGCAGGCTCCAGGAAAGACCATCACCAGGCCCTCAGGACTGCCTATCTCAGGGATGTGCAAAGGGCTCTGGACAAAAGCACTTACAGCCAGTTCCACGAAGCGTTGCTGGCTTACAAGAAGACGGATAATTATGACGCGATGATATCGGTGATCGCAGCCCTCACCACGGAGAGGCCACAGGACTTTCATCTCCTACAAAGTAAGGGATGAGGGGTTTTTTAATCACTTTTATTTAGCTGGAAAGATGTTGGTGCTGTCATCTCGTGTGAAATCTCATCTTTCGGTTTAGCAATCCGGATAAATGGAGCAGCAGGGGTAAGCAATCACACTTTGGGGTCGTTGTTCTTTTACAGAGCTTTACCTGGAAATAGTTACGGATCTGTGTCGTACTTTTATTTTCTCTGAAGGGGCTTGTTTTATTTTCCTTTCATGGGTTTAATGATGGGAGGATTTAGGAAGCTGCAGGTTTTCGAAATTTGAAATTGGACTTTATTGTTTTAAGAAGAAGAAGAAGGGGGCTTGTGTGATGTGACACTTCAGTTCCACCTTCTCCCATGTCTCTGGGGTGAACTCCTCTGCAGGAAATTACACATTTGGTGTATGCTAGGAAATGCTGATGGAGTTTTGTTTTGTTGTCTTTAGGAAATAACAGTAAGTATTAATTGACCTTGAATAGATATAATAGTCTGCAAATTGCCAGAAAATATCTTTTTTCTGGTGCATTAACTAGTTGGATGAGTCTTGGCACAGTGAAGAGTGGGAGGGAAATGAATTGTGGGGTACTGAGTCATAACGTCCCCTTGAGCACTTGTCTTACTGAGCAAGTATTTTGACCTCAGAGGACTTTGTGATAGAATTGTCTGTGCTTGACAATAAATTAAAACTGGGGTTTTACAGAATTTGTGTGTATGTGTTGTGAATCCTTGTCAACCAAACAGTAGCAAGAAATTTCCTTTCTGGGAGTCTTTCCGGATACTGTGTCAGGTTGAAGTGCTGGGTTGTAGAGAACAAGAATTTCAAGGTAAGTGGGGTTGTTCTCCATACTGAGTACTCATCTGCCTTCTGGCAAGGAAAACCCCATAATCATAAAGACCACAAAAAAAATCAAGTGTTACACCAAGCTGAAGATACTCTGGGGAATATGGCTGATATTGTTCAGCTTCCAAAGAATTTCTCCACTCCAAAGAAAGGAGTCTTCCGTGGTTGGACGTTGATTTTCATATGCATTTGACTGTGCTTTCCTTTGGCCAGGGTTTTACATGTTTGTGCGTCCTCACCACAAAAAGCAGTTCAAAGAGATGTGTGAGAGTTTGACTGGAATGGTCTGTGGTGAGGGGAAGAAGCAACTGCAGCAGCCAGTGCAAACTGAAGGGAAACCCCTGAGCTTGGAGAGCTGGTGGACAAAAGGAAACAGCCACATACAAGGTTGGTAATGAACAATTACCTGAAGTTTAGAATCTTATTTATTCATGATGACTAGTGCTCAACAGCCTTAGAATCACAGAATGGTTTGGGTTGGAAGGGACCTTAAAGCTCATATCTCATCTCATCTCATTCCACCCCCTGCCATGGGCAGGGGCAGCTTCCACTAGCCAGGTTGCTCCAAGTCCCATCCAACCTCACCTTGAACACTTCCAGGGATGGAGCAGACACAGCTTTTCTGGGCAACCCGTGCCAGGGCCTCACCACCCTCACAGGGAAGAATTTCTTCCTAATACCTAATCTAATCCTGCCCACTTTTAGTTTAAGGCCATTCCCCCTGTCCTATCACTCCACGCCCCTGTGAAAAGTCCATCTCATGCACTGGAGCCTCTGTGCCCAAGGCATGTAAAGGAGGATCAAATACATTGGTTGTGTCCAAACTGGGTTAAAAATACCCCACCCAAACAGGTGTAAGATAAAAGGTAACATGAGATGAGGAAGTGCAAGGAAACAATGAAGAAATTAGTTACAGTTTTGCCATCTTTAGACTGTGAAGTGTATTAAGGGTGAAGGCAGAATTTTTGCATCTAAATGGGGTGGGAGCAGGAGTGGATCCACTCTCTCTAGGAAGAATTTCCACAGAACTAAAATGGCAAAAAAGTAGTTATTCAAATTTCTTTCTCTTCTTACACAATGACAACTTAGCTGAATTTACTGCTGGTTGTGTTCTGCAGAGTCTGTGTGTTGTGTTCTGCATGACACAAGTTTGTATGCTGGTTTTCTCTTTTTATCCCCAGATGCTTCCACTTCTAAGATTGACGTGCCAGAGACAATTCAGAGTAAGATTTCCTCGTTTTGCTTCAGCCAGAAAAGTGAACTTGAGCTGCCAAAGACTGAAGTATCCAAAGGAACTGGTAACGTGAGAGCACCCTCAGACTCTGGAGTGGTGCCCATCTTTCCCCTGGATATGGAACCAGAGTTTGGTAGGTATAGCTGAGGTTTGGGGATGCCATTCTCCAATACTTGGGAATAAAGATAAGTTATAGAAATGAGAATTACACTGATGGCCTGTGAGATGAGTGGTTCGTGCCTGTATTTGCTCAAGTGCAACGTGGTTTAGCGTGGTTTGCTGAGCAGCATTTGCACTCTCTGCACCTTCCACGTGCTCTCAAAGTGCTTTGTTGTCTTTATCAAAATGGTGCAATAGTTTCCCAGGAATTTACAGAATTTTTTCTCCACAACTTCCTGGTAAAGGAAGGATGTAATCTGAGTTTCTAAGTGGGATCTGAAGCACCGGGAGACTGAGTGACGTCTTGTGAGAGAAATTACGTAACAGGGCCAGGTATTGCACTGTTAAGGTGGTTATGGTCGTTGTTTTCTGGACTGCACTGGAGACGTGGATGCATAAGAATTTCACAGGTGATTACTGGAATTTAGTCATTTCCTCTTTCTTTCTCCCCATCCTCCCCTCTGTTCTAGGAAGATTCCACTGCTCTCACTGCAAATCTGAGGATGATGTGCCCTTTAAATGTCCATTATGTGACTTCACTTGCTGCAAAACATGCTGGGAGCAGTTCTTAAAGGTCCTCTTGTTTACTGGTCTGATTTTTTCCTGAAACTGCTGGAGAATTTTGTGCTTTTCGTGAGAACCATGTGAACAAGCCTAGAAACAGAATTTTGCTGTTTACAGAAAGAACACCCAAATCCTGATGGAAGATTTTTCCCCTGTTTCATTGTTTTATGTGTTTTACGATGTGATTGGAAGCAGACCTCTGCTTTAAGCTGGGGATTTTACACATTTGCATCTTTCTGAGCTGCCTCCACGTGTTTTCCTGTCTAAAACTACAAAGGCAACAAGCTGTGGAGTCAGCTTGAAAAAAATGTGTCGGTTTTTTCATGTGTTAACCGTTACTTTAATTTTTTTTCTGAATTATTTTCACCATTTTCCCCATCAAAATCTTACTGTGAAGCACTATCATGAGATGAGGGAAATCAGGAACAGGCTTCCCAGGGAGGTGGTTGACTCACCATCCCTGAGGGGACGTGGCACCAAAGGACGTGGTTTAACGGTGGCTTTGGCAACGCTGGGTCAGGCATTGGACGTGACGATCTTAAAGGGTCTTTCCCAGGCAAATGATTCCATGAATCTGTCATTCTAAATTCCTGCTCAAGTGTCTCCTGTGTCATCCTGTCTGTTGGTTTTCCCATCTGAGTAAGTTGGTGGTTGAAATTCTTCGGGCAAGAGGATGTAGCTGGTCCCGTGGTGCGTGTGTTTGGGAGCATCTTACTCAACGTTTGACGTGGCAGCCAGGGGTTAATAATCTGGGTTTGGAAGTCTGCTACAAGAGCTGAGGGGTTGCTGAAAATTCAATAGGCCTTGCTGATGAATATTTAATTTTTCCATTTTTGCCAAAGTGTAATGGGGATGAATATCTGACAGGCAGAATCCTCTGCTGCAGAAAGGGCCCCAACAAAGTCACAACAAGAATTTTACTAGCTTGTGTTTATATTCTCTGCTGCTTTAGATTTGAGTTGATTAAGGACAGAATGAGCTCCCTAGGGAGTTATTTTTAGCATTTTAGCATCCCACAGTGTAGTTATGTTGTCTCAGCCCATTAATTTTGACCTTATAAATATCTGGGGAAAAACTCATTCCTTTTGCCAGTAAGATGGAACTTGTAGTTGTTGTTTCATCAGTTTAAGAATCCACAGGATTAGAACTATTGTATATTGAGCAATTGTACCACCCTCTTCTGTGGTTCTCATCTTGAAATTGGTCATTTTGAGGTCTGGATTTCTTCTTAATCCTCAAGTGAATTGGTGTTTTCATAGCTCATAGATAAATGACAACTTGCTCAGCCTAATTTTTTTTAATGACTCTTTTATCTGACTGACATGTCTTAGACCAGAGTAGTTTGACCTACTGGATTAGATTGTGTTTCAGACTTGGGTACTTGAGAGCATCCAGAGGAGGCAGCCAAGGTGGGAAAGGACTGGAAGGCACCTTCTAGGAGGGGTGGCCGAGGACTCTGGGCTTGTCTAGTTTGGAGAAAGGAGACTGAGGGATGAGCTCATGGATCTCTGCAGCTTCCCAAGGAGGGGACGGGGAGAGGGAGGTGCTGAGCTCTTCTCCCTGGGATCAGTGTCAGGATGCATGGGAATGGTTCAAAGCTCTATCAGGGAGATTCAGACTGGATATTAGGAAAGATTCTTTACCAAGAGGGTGATCAAACACTGGAAGAAGCTTCCTAGAGAGGTGGTCATTTCCCCAGTGCCCTTTATGGTTTAACTTCTGTTGGACCCTGCAGTGGTCAGGCAGTTGGACTAGGGGATCACTGTAGGTCCCTTCCAACTGGAGGTGTTCCTTCTCTTCTATCCAGATATCCAGTGCAAAATCATGTTTGAGGAAACGAGTCATTCCCTGTGTGTCATTTATTATTAATGATTTCAATCTTTGCCACTTACATGAATAATCTTACTTATGGCATACCTTTTTGGCTGTCTGTGTAGAGGAGTCTTAAGCGGCTCATGATGTGATTCAAGTGTCATTTGGCTAATGAAAAGTCAAATAAGAGGGTCATAGAATGGTTAATGTTGGAAGAGACCTTTAAGATCAAGTTCAACCATCACCATTACTGTGTTCACCATTGAACCATGTCCTGAGGTGCCACATCCACATGACTTTTGAACATTGCCAGGGATGGTGACCCCATCACTTCCCCGGGCAGCCTGTTCCAGTGCTTTCCAACCCTTTCCACAGAGAAATTCTCCCTAATATCTAAACCTGTTGTAGATTAGGATATTACTTGGACTGATGCAGAAATGGTTCTCCCAGTGCTGAGTCAGAACTGTTCTCTGCTGATCATGGAGCTGAGAAGGAAGCACAGCCTCCTGGGAGAGCACAGGATTGCAAACAGGAAGACTATCCTGTGTTTCTCTGAAACCAGTCCCAGAGGAGCCACCTCCTAACACATCCATTCTTTGGGAGGTCAAACAGGCAATTGGCTCCATCCGTGACAGGGGTGTGTTTGGGACAGAGTTACCTTTACCAGCAGGAAATGAGCAACCACGTCTGAGCTCTGAGCTCCCATCAGATGGCATTAAGCTTTGTCAGCTCTGACTGAGCTGTGTTTGAAACTCCTTTTTGCTTTGCTAACAACTTACTCACTGTTTTTTCAGCTCAAAAGTCCCTTGGTGCGGATTGTCCCCCGAGGAAGTGACTAACAGCCTCATTCACAATGCAGGGTTTGCAAATTGTGATCTTTTCCAGTTTGTTGTTGTAGTGAAATACTGGTGGGGAGAGGCGGTGAATGGTTTTGGAAGCTTTTAGAAGCTTTTGGAGGAGCAGTCAGAATTCCCTGCAGCTGCCAGGGGTATTAGGGGGATTAGTGCTGGAGCATGTTGGGTGATTCACTGTGCTGGGGAAACCTTGCAGAAACTGGGCCAGGGCACACTGCTTTGGGGTGTAGCTTTTTCTCCAGAGCACTGTTGCTGCTTTCCAGTGTTTAAGTGCATCATTTATTCAGGCAGTTCTTCCAGAGAAAATGAGTTATTCTCATTTAGACTATCTGCAATATAGGCCAATAATATCAGATTTCACAGTTATATTTTACACTTAAAACTGTCTTTGGCAAATCAGTGTCTGCTGGGAGGTGAAGTGAGTTTTTCTCTCCCCATCCATTTATGGTATTTAAATTCATGTTTCTAGAACCAAAATCCTACTGCTAGAGCCTACCTTGCAATCTGCACCCTTTCTTGCAATGACTTCACACTGACACGGCAGGGTTAGATTGGATATTAGGGAGAAATTCTTCCCTGGGGGGAGCCCCTGGCACAGGTTTCCCAGAGAAGCTGTGGCTGCCCTATCCCTGGAAGTGTTCAAAGCCAGGTTGGACAGGGCTTGGAGCAACCTGGGATAGTGGAAGATGTCCTTGCCCATGGCAGAGGGTTGGAACGAGATGGGCTTTAAGGTCCCTTCCGACCCAAACCATTCTGTGATTTTAATTATGAACTTGCACACTGCAGGGAAGCCTGTGCAGTGCCACTGATGTAGGTGACCATCATTTTAGCCTCCTGAGGAGGCAGTTTTTATTTTTTTTACTGTCTCCCCTTTGAAGTAAGCAGAGCATTTTAGTTTTACCAGTAATTTGCAAGCTACGAAAAGAGCAGTTGGGATTCACGTGCAGGTCAAATGACTTCAAAATTGAAGATTAGGGAAGAAGCAAACTGAAACCTGAGTGGAGAAATGATGCCTCACACACCCTCGTGTCTCCTGCTGAGAAAGGTGTGGGGTGCTATGAAGAAATAAATGTGCTTGGTTCCCCTACAAAGCTCTTGATCATGACCACGTGTGCCACCCATGTTCGGGTATGTCCAGGACACTCGTCATTCCCATCAGCACAGGAGGAAGCAGGGATTCAGGGAACTCATGAGCTGCTTGAGGGGACTTTACTCAAAAGTACAGCTGTACTTCACAGCAGCTCTTGCAGCTCTGCATTTCCTTGTTCCTGTATTTTTAGTCGTCCAGATGTGTCATAGCTGTAAATTAACCTGAGACAACTGCTGTAAAGTTTGGTGCCACTTTGCTGGGAGGCTTTTTTCTCTTCTTTTTGCTACTGGCAGCAAAATAACTGCGTGGGAACACTGAGGATGCAAATGGCAGACAGGATATCTGGGGGACTGACCCATGAGTAGTGTGGCTTGTGATTCACGTTGGACAAAATGTGATAGAGAACTTTAATATCGTGGAATCATAGAATGGTTTGGGTTGGAAGGGACCTAAAAGCTCATCTCATTCCAACCCCCTACCATGGACAGGAACACCTTCCACTATCCTACATTGCTCCAAGCCCTGTCCAACCTGGCCTTGAACACTTCCAGGGATGGGGCATCCACAGCTTCTCTGGGCAACCTGTGCCAGGGCCTCCCCACCCTCACAGGGAAGAATTTCTCTGTAAAGTCTAATCTAACCCTGCCCTCTTTCCATTTAAAACCACTGCCCCTTGTCCCATCACTGTCTACCCACATAAAAATTCCCTCCTTTTATGGTGTTTCCTCCATAAGAAATACATTATCCACGTGTTTTGTTCATTGCTTTCTGCAGGTGGTGAAGAAGTGCCCGGAGTGCTGCAGTGACGTGAAGAGGAAGCGATTACTCCAGGTTTTCTTATGGTTATAATCCCACCCATAGGAAGGGCAACAAGCCCCCTGTGCCCAGCAGAAGGTGGTGGCTGTGCTCCAGCTCTGCCACTGAGCAGGAGCAGGATGGAGGTTCATGCAAACCCCTTTGATCTTTTCCTCTGGATTACGATGCACCAACACGTATCATTTTCCTACGGAGGGGGTCGAGTCTGAAGGGTCTTGCTGCAGGAAACAAAGCAGGACATTGTCTTCTGTTGGAACTAGGAAGGTTAACTTTTTACTTGTTTTAACCTGTGAATTCTTCTGTGGCCACTCTTAGGCTGAAATTTTATATCCTTAGGGGCATCTGTCATTTACATGCCCTTCAAGGAATACCAGACCCTGGGAAAACCCCAGGAACGCTGTTACAGTGAAACTGAGCTGGCTAAGGAGGCCAGACTACCCATCCATACCACACCGGTGTTCCTGGAAGAGGTGATTCACATTCACTGTTTGGTGTTTGGCAGCAGCCACTGTCTCCAGTAGCAAAAGATACTGAAAGGATCATTTTTTACAGAAATTTTCCATCGGTGGATAGTGAGCAGAAGCTCCCTCTCATCTGTGCACCCCAGAGCCTTATTCCATCTTCCATTGTGCTGGGATTTTTTGAAATGTGCTTCTGAGGAGCCTTTATTTTCTGCTCAGTGCCGGTGTTTCCATGTATCTGTGTTATTTGATGTTTGTTTTCCAAGAAGAAAAAGGAACTAATCCGTCTAAAACTTAAAAATATATCATGTTAGATGGGTTAAAAAAAAAAATTCCTTAATACTTCCACTCTCTGTGAGTAGTGGGTATAAGTGGTTAACCTGGAAAATTTTATCAATTTTAAATCTAACATAGCTGCTGTAAATAAGATGGTACATAAAACCATTCTGTTTTATTTGGGTTTGGTTTTATTTTTTAAAAAAAAGGTTTAAAAGAAATGACCAGATATAAAAAATACTGGGTATTGGGTCTCAGTGGTCCTGGTAGGAACAAGTAGAAAGGTTAAAATCACCCTGTTGGTGATTTTCATATCAATGGAATTTGGAAAATTTTATCCTAATAAAATTTTATTGTTAATAATTGATAAAACTGAAAACCGAGTTGAATTTTAACAAAAGTTCTTATTTCCCTGGTTATAGAATTCAAAACTGGTGTCACCAAAGCAACTCCATACCTGAAATGTGCCTGATTTTATTTGTTGGTCAAGGGGTCGAACCTTCGCAAGTTGTACTGAGCGCTTTTCATCATCCTTAGTTCTCCTTTGCTTTTTTAACAAATAAAGCAACTCCTGCATTGTTAAAGAATTTTTAAAATAAATAAAAGATGCTCCCAGGGGCAGCAGATCAGGCTCATGTGTCATGTTTTGCCTTTTTGGGGTGATCTGGGTTTTCTGACTGGGGCAAAGTCCCTCAGCTGCTCCCAAGCAGGTCCCTGTCACTCCTTTTCAATGCCCATTTTTCATTCTGGATGTATTCCCCTGGCCAGGACGAGCAGGGGAAAGGGTGAGGCTGGGAGCAGTGAGTGGTAAAATGTCATTTATTGGTGGATAGTTCAGTGCCTGGTTTGCTCTGAAGGTCTCTCCCAGGAAGCTGCAGCTGACTGCTCGTGCCACTGGAGGGAAACCACAGCACAGCCATGAGTCTGAGCATCTTCAGGGGCAGTGCCACATAGTTTTGGTCAGTTTTGCTGATGGAAATTACCTGCTCTGGGCTCCAAAAATGCTGCCACATCCAGCAAGACTAAAGGAAACACTTAAAAACGTGCGTGGGATTGGCTGGGACAAATATTATGACACATTTTTTCCCCCCTTCAACTAAAATATATTTCCAGCTGTGCTTTTTCCTGGAGTTTTAGTCTGGAGACTGTTCCTACCTGGGAGTGCTCCATTGTTAGTGACACAGGGCAGAGAAACAATGCTGTTCCAGTGCTCTGCCGCCCTCCATGGAAAGTTATTTCTCATGTTGAGGTGAGTTTATGGCCATTGCTCCTCGTCCTGTCACTGCACACCACTGACAAGAGTCTGGCACCATCCTCTGACACCCACCTTTGAAATATTTATATGCATTAATGAGACCCCCTCCCAGTCTTTTCTTCTCCAGACTGAACAAGCCCAGCTCCCACAGTCTCTCCTCACAAGAGATGCTCCAGACCCCAAATCATCTTTGTAGCCTCCACTGGACCCTCTCCAGTAGCTCCTTGCCTTTCTTGTGCTGAGGAGCAAACTTGCTGAGGGTGCATTCTATCCCTTTATCCTGGAAATTCTTTCTCTTGGTCCTTGTCTGTGGCTTATCTGCCCTCACTGAAACTCTCCAGCCAGGTGGGCTCAGAGCTGGGCTTCCTGCTGGGTCCAGTCTGGTGAAGAGGTTCATCAAAGAAAAACATCCCTCAAGGGGCTGTGCCTCAGTCTCCGGGGAGTGCTGGGAGATTAGTTTACTGGCTCCTGAGATGATACATACTGACAAAGCAAAACCCTGACAGTCTTCAGCTCCAAGGTTATGTCAAAACAATTTACGAATCATCACGATCACTTTGGAGAGCTACAGGGGATTGAGATAAACTAGCAGTAAAATTAAAAACCATTTTAGAGAGACGTGTGAAACTCAGCCCACCACCTGTTCTGTGTAAAGCACAAATGAACCCTGCTGTTGGACCAGAGTTCTGATCCTCCTTGGCTCCTGCTGGAGTCTGGGGACTTTCTTTAACCTTGATGGGTAGAAACTGAACTTACTGGAAGGAGCTTTGGATTCTTCCTGACCATCAAGGTTTCCTTCTCCTTCTGGGTAGCAGAGAACTGGGTTTGATTTTCTTGGTGAATGGTGTGTTTAGCTCTTGTAGGTTTGGTCTTTAAGAGCCTTAAGAATGAAGTCCAGGAGATTCTCCATCCTCAGCCCCAGTGACTGACAGCTGGAGGTGAGAGGCTCGTTCCCCTCTTGCAAATGCAGGATTGTTAATTCTCTGTACTGATCTGCAAAATCATGTGGCTGCTGGCTCCTGAGGAGAAAACCTCCACGTCCTCTCAGGTCCTCACTGTGGTTCCCCACATTTCCAGAGGTTTTGCATTTGGTTTTTGAGCATGTGATCTGCTTTTGACTCTTCACCGATGCCTGTTCAGAGGGAATCTGGTGAGAAAGGGCAGAAGGACAAAGTGCAAGAGTTCTGTGTATTGAAGCAGTGGCAGTGCAGGGTGAACAGGCAGCAGTACATGCTCTGCCCAGCACTGTACCTGCAAGGCTGAGTTCAGTTTCCACTGAAATCCTTGAGGTCCAAGACTTATGGCAGTGTCATCTGTAAGGGATTTAAGTGCTGACCCCCTCAGCTGCTGGATGTTGTGGTCCCACAAAAGGTACCTGTGAGTGTTCAGTGTTACAGCTGGACACAGCGTCATCCTCGGTGCTCCCAGAAGGACAGAGTTGAAGCTCTGAGCCGGCTTTAGGAATGCGGTGCCTAAGCATTGGGATCGGGGCTGTTTTGGCAGGGTCGGTGACCTCGGAGGTGAGGGACTAGGATGGGGTCTCGCTCCAGAGCCCCTGGCAGAGCCGGGGGGATGATCCCCACAGCGCCGGTTCCACTGCCTCCAGCCAGGGCCAGAATCGGCCCCTCTGGGCTGCCTTTGGGGGGCAAACTGTGCCCTGACAGCGAGAGGCAACTGCTGTTAATGGGAAGTTATTTGGCGTTTACAGCCGGGGAACGGGGCGCGCTCGCGGGGGAATCTCCCTGCCTTTCCCCTGCCAGAAAACAATTCCACACCGACCCCCTGTAAAACCTACAGAGCTCTGAAAAACTGTGCGAATCCCACCTGCCTCCTTCCTCCGCCCAGGCAAACGCACTTTATCTCCCCGAAAGCTTCACTTTCAGAGGCAAACGCAGAAACGAGAGCGAAGAGGGAGGGAAGGGGAGGAAAGGGAGCCCCTGGCTGCTGCCCCGCCACTTCACCCGCTTCTGCTCCCCTCGGAACTGAGGTGGGCTGGGGTGACTTTCCCGTCCACCCCAGGCCGATTGCGCGTGTCGGGCGCTGCGTGGGAGTGCGGTCAGAGCCTCCCGCCCGCAGCCGCTATAAGGCTCTGCTCCGTCCCTGGGCTGGGAAGAGCCGGCATCTCCCTCGGAGGAAGGGCTGACTCGGAGCAAAGCAGGTGAGGAAACGCAGTCCTTCCCAACAACCCTTCCCTATATAAGCTCTTCCCAACAGCCCTTTACTATCTGCCCTTCCCATTCTCCTTCTTTCTACTTCATTGCTGGCTGGCTGGCCCCACTGCCGCCGAGAGGAGCTCCAGCCCAGCCAGCATCAGCCCCTGAGAAACCTTCTCTGTCTCCTCAGGTTTCTGATCCCGGCGCTCAGAAGCCCCATGCTGTGATGCCATCCTGCCACATGCCGAGTTTGAGGCATCCATCCAAGGTAAAGTGCTGTCTACTCGTCAGGTTGGGCACATGTGCTTTGAAAAAGGAAAGTGGGGGATAAACAAGCTCTGGGATTCTCCAGTACTATCCTGAGCAACTGGGTTTCCAAAAAAAGGTCTTTGAGTTCCTATGGAGCATGCTATGTATTTGCTGGTTTGGAAAACTTCCCTTCTGCTTCTTGGTCTGCCAAGTCTCTCTTATCCCAGACAGGGGGAACTGACTGGGATGATGGGGGGGAATGTACTGGACCTGCTTTGAGTTCTGAAAGAGGGAAACGGGGTTATGAAGGCATCACAAATGGGTTTGGGAAGGATGCTCTGTCACCTGGGATGGCAAGGGAAGGCACAGGGGGCAGCAGCTCCTCCCCGGTACCACCGATGCTTTACCCCTGGGGCTGGGGACAGCATAGGGAGGGAGGATGATTTCTTGTACCTACAACAATAACAAGTTCTGTAACAGCAGCAGCCGCGTTTGCTGCTCCCGCCTCTGCCAGAGGACGAGCTCAGGGCTCTTTGCGCTGTCTTTGCTGCAGTGGATGTTCCCCCCTCTCCTCCTATTCCTGGCTGAGCTCGGCTGCAACGCCCAACCCACGTACCCATGGAAGGACCCCGTGACGAGCGAGAGGCTCACGTGCCATCAGTGCCCGCCGGGGACCTTCGTGTTTCGGCACTGCAGCAGGGACAGCCCGACCGTCTGCGAGCCCTGCCCGGAGCTGCACTACACGCAGTACTGGAACTACCTGGAGAAGTGCCGGTACTGCAACGTGATCTGCGGCGAGAAGCAGGTGGAGGTGCAGCAGTGCGATGCCACGCACAACCGCGTCTGTCAGTGCCAGGAGGGATACTACTCGGACATGGAGCTCTGCATCAGGCACTCCCAGTGCCCGCCGGGCTCCGGCGTGGAGAAAGCAGGTAAATACCCAGACAGGCAGTGCTGTGCGTGCTCACAAGGCTCTTGTCACATCCCAAAATCCCCGCTGGAGCTAAAAAATCAAGGAAAAACACAGCAGCCAATGCTTGCTCATAGCCTGACCTACTCCCTTTTAGCTCACTATCACACTGCCATCCTCGCTGGCATGTGAAACTGCTCCTATTTTTTTTTTTTCCAAGGAGGAATGTGGTTGGGTTTTCCCTCAGCTTTCACTTTGAAAGCCTGTGAAATCCCCAGCACCACACTCAGGTGGGACATGGTAATCCCAGTTACCTCCCTCACCTGCTGCAACAGGCAGAGCCAGGCTGTGACTTGCCCATCCCCGGAGCAGCTTCTGGCCCTGTGTGGCTCTAGACAGGTGAGAAGGTCCAAGTTGCTCCTGCTCCTCCACGAATTCCTTTCTTTCTGCATCAGGTAGCCCAGGAGCTGAGAAGGCTGATTGTCTGGACTGAAAAAGGTGGCTGATGATGCAAGGGCAGGGCTGGTGGATGTGTGTAGCCCTGGGGCTGGGTTTTGTGGGTTTTACTGAGCAATTAGGAGAACAATTTGTGTTGAAAATACACAGTGGATACATGGCCAGGTTCCAAAACCATAAAATCAGCCTTGTTTTGATTCATGAGTCTGACACTCCATCTCCTTGTGTTATATAACTCCCAAGAGATTTTAAGGGGTTTATTTTCCCATTGTTTCCCCAGTACAGATTTCTCTGGTCCCTTAGTTGCTCTGTGTGTATGTGTGCAAACTTTCTGAAAATATAAGTTGCCTAGAAGTGGCTTTTCCTCTTTCTCCTTTTTCTTGCTCCCCCCTGAACCACCAAGGACCAGGGTCTGCCTGGAAACCACAGCTGGGTACAAACAAACCAGCGTGGGCAGCACCAGCAAACCCAGCAGTATTTTGCTTAATGCTTTGAAGTGTGGAGGCTTTTGAAGTGCAGAGGCTTTTGAAGTCCTTCCATCCACGGCATTGAAGAGCTCCAGGCTCACCTGCCAGAGGAGAAATACCTGTTGTCTTCAGCTGATACTGAAGGCTGAGGTTTGGGGTTTAATTTTCTGTAGGACATGACAAAATGCAATAATACAGTGAAAGGGGAAGTAAGTCTCCAAGCAATATAGGGAAGCTCTTTGAAATTAAACATGACATTTGTCCAGAGGGTTGGCTGTAGGACTGAGGAGCCATGTGAGCAAGCTGAGGATTTGAGGAGAAGCCATTTTTTTGTTGTTATTATAATTTATTTTTTTACAAATGTCTTCTTGTGTGGAGAGAACTGCACCCCAGCCCAGCCCAGCCACCTGAACCCCACAGCAAGGACCCCAGGGCTGTCAGTGATGGTGTTGATGGGGATGATGTGGACTGGGGGCTTTGATTCCTCTGGGGTACATCAGCTTCTTTGGGATTTCCTATTTACAAGGAGTGGCTCTGGTGTTGGGGTTATAGCTGGGTTGGCTGGGACTTAGAATAGAATGGTTTGGGTTGGGAGGGACCTGAAAGATCAGACTTCTCTTGGGAAAGCCAAAGCAACAGCCTAAAGTGGGGTGCGACAAGGTAGAAATTGTGTTTGCAGTTAGATCTGTGAAAAGAAGGTGAAAGGGGTGTGAAATCTGCTGTGTCAGGGCTCCTAGGGAACGTGCAGGATGCCTGGTGCAATCCTGGCTGCGTGGCACTGTTCCTGTGACACCACGGGCAGGGCTGGCCCGGAGCCGGGGTGGGAAGTGACGAAGTGCTTTCATCTCCTCAGTGACTTTTACTTTCACTTGGCTGGGAGCCTCTGGCTCCACTGGGAACCAAAGGGCTGGTTTGGCAGCTCACCCACTGGCCCAGCTGCAGCTCCTACCTGGGAGGTGGCCCTTTTCATAGCAGATGAGGTGTCCTCTTGTGTCAGCGGGCTGGTGACAATTTACCGGCACGGGCTGGGTGAAGGCTGGGGAAAGTGTTGCTGTTTGCCCCACACAAGAACATGCAGTGCCCAGGGGAATTACAGGCAGTGATCATTTCCAAAACATCACCCTCACGCTCCAGTGGTGTCTGGCATCGGCTCCTGCCTCTGCTCCTGGCTTGTCACCTGACAGTCCCCTTGTCTTTCCGTGCACAGGTACCCCCTTTGAGGACACCAAGTGCCACGAGTGCCCCCCCGGCTTCTTCTCCTCCAACTCCAGCACTGATCCGTGCCAGCCACACCAGGACTGTGAGCAGCAGGGGAAGGTGACCAACGTTCAGGGCAACCAGTTCCACGACACCCTCTGCACCTCCTGCAGACTGGGGAAAGGCAACACCACGCAGGGACCAGGTGAGCTGCGGCTCTGTGGGCACAGGGGGGGCCAGGACCACGATGCTGCCGGGGCAAGAGCAAACATTCTGGTGACTTTCTCCTACTTAGATGAAAAATGAAGTGAAATGGTTTGTAAAAGTGTGGAGTGATCCACAATTAATAATAATTATGGGTAGAATACAGTCTGCCTGCCTGCCTGCCTTCCTCTCCCTCCAGTGTCAGTCCCATAGTGCAAAGACAGGTTGCTGGGCTTAAGCAACGGCCACCACTCAGAACAAAGAGCTGGCAGTAAAATCCTGCTGGATCTTACCAGGAACAACTGGGAATGCTGGGACAGGAGGACAGTTTGGCAGCCTTTTGACTGTAGCTGATAACTGATGTCTGATGGTCATGCAAACAGCCAAGGTGAGAAGGGCTGAGGGATCCAGCTTGGCTCCAGGCATGGATCCTGTGCTCCCTTTTCCCGGACTTCAGCCTGTTTTCCGGAAGCTTTTATTGCAGCATGGCCTGGTCTAGTGCAGGTTGAACGTAGCAGAGTCCAAGGTTAGTCAGAGCTGAGCATAGGGTGGATTTTGACTTGTCAGCTGAAAAAGTAGAGACGTGGTGTCAACTGTGTCACTGCAGTGGTACAGATGAGCCTCAGTGGAGGTGGAAGGTCAGGCAGGAGCAGCCAGTGGGCACAGATCAGAGAATCCCAGAACCCTGGGTTGGAGGAGACCTCAAGGACCATGTGGTCCAACTTTTCTTGGCAAAAGAACAGGTGCAGGGCAGAGCAGAGGGCTGGCTCAGGGGTGATCTATGACAGCGAGGAGGCTGTTTTCCCCAGCAGTTCTCACCTTTCCATCCTCTCCTGGCACCACCAACCCAGGCATTTCTCCTTACCAATCCTGACTCACACTGTGAGTTCCCTGCCAGGGGCACGATCCCTCTGCAGAGAGACAGAAAACTCTGTCATCAGCAGGACACGGTCCTGGGAGTGGGGGGTGGTCAGGAGGGGCAGCATCAGCAGCACGTGCATCAGGAAAGGGCCCTGCAGCCAGACTGGCCCCTTGCAGCTATTTATAGAGGAGAGGAGGCCCCAGCAATGGGAGTTGAAGGGTATTTTTAACTCTGTTTTGTCATGATTCTGCTCAGGAGGCACACTGGGACCTGCTCATCATCAGCCTGAGCAGTGGAGCCCAACCCACCCCACTGTAACCAGTGAAACCGTTCCCAGTTTGCAACAGCACGAAACTGAGTTAATCTCTCTCTCCTTGACTGAGTAATCCTTTGGCCTTGGTCTCTTGAAAATTCTTTGTTTTCATTCCTTTTGCTGGATGCCCTCCAGCAGCTTCCACAAGCTGGGGCAGGATCTGTCCCAGTGCCCTGATTGGGGCTGTGCTTGGGGCTTGTCCTGTCACAAGATGTACAAATCTGCATAGGAGAACAGAAACTTGCAGGAAAAATAATGTGTAAACACTTATTGCAATTAATCCAGATTTTTCTGAACTTTCCCTCTTCCTCTACTCCCCGACAGGGAGGAGCCTGGAACAGGTATAGTTACTTTTTTTCAGAATTACAGGAACTTTTACACATTGTTTTCCAACTGCCACGTGCAGCATGGGTCACTGATGGGAAGTTCAGCCCTCCACTAGAACAGGCTACTCCAAGCCCCGTCCAAGCCGGCCTTGAACAATTCCAGGGATGGGGCATCCACCACCTCCCGGGGCAGACGTCCCACGGAGAGGCTTGGCAGGGCTGTGCCCTGCTCTCCAGTGTCCCAGGCTCACTTCCCTCTAACCTCCAGCTATTTTCCCCCCACCAGCTGTAGAGGACGACGACTGTGAACAAGCCATGATAGACTTTGTGGTGTATCAGAACATCCCCGTCAAGAAGCTGAAGCGTCTCCAGCAGATCCTGGAGCGCTCACCAAGGAAGCAGCAACCATGGACCAGGGCAGCCATCCAGGAGAAATTCCGGACTTTCCTCACTCACAAGAAAGAGGAGCACTACGAGGTCATCACGAAGCTGCTGGACGCGCTGCGCCTTGTCAAGCTCCACTCCATCGAGGAGGAGGTCCGCAAGCGCTTCCTGCTGCTCTGAGAGCACAAACTGGACTTTTTGGGTGCTTTTTTGTTTGATTTTGTCCTTCTGTGCCTTCATTAATTTATTCATCTTTCCAAGCATAACTTGAAAAGCAGTATGAGAGATGAGTGATGGGTTGGAGTGACACTGTGCTGTGGCATTGGTGGAATGGGATGGATGGGATGGGATGGATGGGATGGGAGGGATGGGATAGGATGGGATGTGTGAACAGCAGTGTCCCTGCACTGGCACAGCTCCTGTGAGCTCTCCAGATGTTGGCCACTGATTTTCCAGCCCTTGACAAGGGTCAATATTTTATCAGAAGAGAAACCTGCACCCAAGGTCATTATTTCCGTAAAGAACCCAGTCCTCTTTGGAGAAAACTGTCTGGCTTTGTTTTAAACTGTGTAAGTTTGGTTTTGTTGGAGGGTTTAGTTATGTAATGGTATTTCCCACTGAGGATTCACTTGCATTTGTTTGTCACGCTTTAGTTTGAGAAGGCAGTTGCTGCTGAGGCACAGGGTGATGGAAGATGCCCCAAAGTCACTGGTACACCCAGCTTGAAACGTATTTCTTAACTACCTATTTTTATACCTTGTGTGAAAGTTGTTTTCTAAAGAAAGAAACCCAAGAAGTTATTTTATTATACAATTCTCTGTCACCAGCGTCCTTCCCTAGTCTCATTTGGAGGTGATGTTGGGAGTCCCAGACTGTCATATCTGACCCTGCTTACCCTTGCCTGCTTTTTACACATACTTCTCATCATGCTGGCATCCCTGCTCATGGCATGGGGTTGGAACAAGATGAACTTTAAGGTCCCTTCCAGCCCAAACCATTCTGTGATTTGGTGATCACACAATACCAGCCACCCCACAGCCCACCAGCTCCAGCCCCTGTGAGCCACGGTAAGGCCATGTGCCAGTGGGATGCAGTCTGTCTGTGCTGGGATTTGTGGCCAGGGTGAAGCTCAAGTCTCTTGGCTCAACCCAACCATGTCCTCTCTGAGCCCCAGGTTTGTTCCCAGACCCAACCAGATACTGCAGCAAGCAAAGAGTTGCTCAGTCAGCCAAAGACCAGGCTTGGGGCACTTGTGCTGACTGCAGAAGGGTTTTTTAAACAGATGTTGCTTAGGAAAGTCAACAAGAGTGACCCCCTCAGGCATTTTCCAGCCTGTAACAATGATGACGGCAGAGCTATGTTTGCCTTGAATGAGTTGGACTTTTTATAGCTCTTTTTTAACTAAGCAGTTGCCAGGAAGTTTGCGGTTCAAAAGAGGAATATTTTCCCCCAACTTGGAGCTATTTAAAGCTCTCTGAAGCATGTGCTATGTGGAAGTGCCCCCACACTCAGCTTTCTCTGAGGCAGAGTGCAAGGCAGGACACCCAGAGCTGATGGATTGAAGGCAGGAGCAGCCCGAGCCTCCAGCATTGGCTGCAGCTCCTTGAAGGATTCCCATCCTGCTGCATTGCAGTTAGTCCTGACTCAGCACAAAGGATTCGGTGTCCTTAGTCTGAAATGGAACAAGAATGGAGGGTTGTTAAGTGCAGAAACCACCTCCTGTTCTTCATCCACACCACCGTGGCTTCTTCAAATATGTGGAAGTTGAGGAGGAGGGAAAATGGGAATATTATTGGCAAGAAGCTGATAATCATTATCTTAGATCCTGGTTTAGTTGGGTGACTTTTGAAGAGAAAGAGGTGCCTTCTGTGTGTATTTTTTTGTGATAGAAGACCTCAGTGCTGAGGTGGAAGTCCCTATGGGGCCTGGTGGCTGAGCTCAGGGCCCTGGGACACTTTGTGTGGCCCTTGGAGCTTGCTGCCCTTCTCACCAGCAAGGCAAAACCTGGGGTGTGGGCTGAAGGCTTCCAGCAGCTACACAGGGAGCCAGCTCTGGTCCCTGAACTCCTGGATGAGCTGTGTTTGTTCTGGCAATGCCTCATGGCCGAGGGCTCTGGATCTGATCAGGCACTGGCAGAGGTGGAAGCAGAGTGGCCATGGAGAAGAGCCCAGGAAATGTTTTTTTTTTCTGCTGAATGCTGGTGCAGAGGAGGGAAGTTTTGGGTCTTTTTTATTATTTTGGGGGTTTTACCAACCGTCGTGAGTGCTCTGTCCCACCTGGACACCAGTCTGCACAGACCCTTTGTCCCTTCAGATAGAGCAGATGTAGCAGATGCTTTGACAGGCTTGCTCTCACCCAGAGGTTTGCCAAAGTTCGTGGCCCACAGCTCTGACTCCAAGGGGTTAAACACCCCATGTAGGTGTGGAAGGGAGAGGAGAGCCTCGGCTATTCCCCATCTTCCTGAGAAGAGATGCCTTGCTGAGCCTCATGGCCCTCCCAGCACGAAGTGTGGGCCCACCATGTCTGACTCCTCCTTGGAGGGGGATGATGAATCTCTGGCACCCATTTGCTGTGCCAGGTTGCAGTGGGAACCACAGACCTCAGCTTGCCAGGGCAGGAGAGGGTGATTAATTAACTGGGGATGGCCCAGATCGTGTCAAAGAGCTCTGCACTCCCAGGTTGCCCCTGCTGCCCCCAGCCAATGCAGCACTGAGGGGTTGGGGAGGGGGTGATGCCCTGGGCCAGCAGCAGCTCCCTGACTTGATGCCACCAGTGTGACTTGCTCTGCCAGGGTGTCTCCTGATGCTGAGGTGGTTTGGAGCCTCTCCCCAGGTCTCTCCCTGACCTAAGTCCCCTCATTGCTGAGTTAGCTGGAATTTCTGCGCCAGGAAGTTTTCTCACAGACAGGATGACTGGGAAGGTTCTGGTAAATACTGACCATTATAACAGTGGCCAAACACCCCGGCACGTGAGTTCTGCTCAGCCTCCAGGAAACAGGCTTTGCTGGAAAAGCCAGGATGAGCACTGCATGGTACCGGTCCCAGCTCCTCCCACATCTGCTCCCACCACCTGACACTCGACCAAGGCAAGCATTCCCAAACCACCCTCGAGCTGATCATGAGATATTTCACCTTTTCAGCTAATTGAAGTTAAGAGGATGAAAACCCCTTTTGGTTTCCACTGAGGTTTCCAAAGCCCGGAGAGAGAAGAGGAAGAGTCAGAATCGTGAGCTGTTTCCCTGATGGTTTAAGTGACTCTTTACTCATAAGCTGTGGCTGAGGACAGCACATGGTAACATCTAAAAGTGGATGCAGCGCTCTCCCGGGGTGACTCAGATATTTAGTACACAGAAGATAATTTTCCAAATGCTTACAAGCACTACATAGAAAGCCCAAGCCCATGCTGCTCTCCACGTCAGGCTGTCAAATGCTTAAAATGGGATAAACTCCCACAAAATGATTTAGTTGGTTTAAAGTGCTGAGGTGGGTTAGGTTGGTGCTGTGGGCTCCTCGGCCACCTCTCACCACAGCCAGGTGTGGCAGTGACTCAGGTTGGCGGTGATGCTTCAAAGCCCAGAGCACCAGCAGCAGGAGCTGACGTGCTCCTGGCCTGCTCGTCGCAGGAGCCGCCAGGACACGTTCCTCTTTTGTGAGAGGAGAGCGCCGCGAGTGCTGGTCCAGCTCCAAGGGCTTGGGACGGGTTTAGGTGAATGATTAACGTGAGTGGAAGGAGTCAGCGGGAGTTTCTCTGGTGAGGTCACGCCTTGACCTCACAAGCAGGTAGAGCCAGGATTGCTGGAGGAAAACAAGGGCGGGGATTTTCTCAGGTGTGCAGGAATGGAACCAATGCAAGCACATAATCCAGCTTGTCAATGCAGCCTGCAGCCCTCTCAGCCCTGGGGTTGCCACCTTTTCACAAGATGAGTAAATTCACTCTCCTGCCTGCAGATTTCCCCTTGTCCCCATCCTCCTGTGTCACTCAGCGGTGTCAGTGGGCTGAGCCCTCCCAACACTGTGGGAGAGGACTCAGGGAGTGCTACCACACACCAAACTTGTTTAAATTCTCCCATCACTATTCCAGAGGGGTTGATTTTATCTTGTTTTGAAGCACACTTCTAACCTTCTGACTGTAGCATTTTCCCTTCCAGCTGTAGTCCCCTGTGTTGTGTGTCCAAACTGTCCCTGCTGAGACTTGTCCCTCACTGCTGCTTCTGCAGTGACCAAATGATGGGACCGAACTCCCCAGTGCCACTCCTGGAGGGGGACAGTGCCAACTGTGTTGGAGAAGCAGAGGTGATCCTGAGAAAATCCATCCTGTCCTAGAGCAGGAGCAGGGATGGCTGAGGCGTGCAGGGCAGCCCAACCTGTGGGACAGAGAACGTGGACGCTGGGAGCTGCTCTTCTCCCACTGGGTCTCACGTCAGTCCCTGCCCTCATTTCTTCCCCTTCTGCATTTATAACTTCTGTTCCCTTCTGTGTTCAAGGAGTGTCCAGAGAGTGGGGAGTCTCCAAGAGTGAGCAAGAGGAGGCACAGCAGGTGACTGGGTCCCAGCTGGGTCCGGGTGGACACAGGGAAACCAAGAGGTGAGGGAGCCCCGTGACAAGTCAGTGGCCAGGTGAGAACATGGACCAGGTGCTCTTGGGCTGAGTGTGGCTCACACCACTGATCTGCATTCAGCCAGGGCTGGGTGGAACTCTGCCCCCTGAGCATTTCTCCTCCTGTCTCTTTCAATGAAATGTGAATTTTTGCCTCAGGTTAACCAAAACAAGAATCTGACTGATAAATTAATGAAACTGTGAAGACCTCGATGAAAAACTCTGCAAGTGTCACCAAAGGGTTTCCACTTCAGAGATGTGTCTGGCCATGGGGTGCAGCGTGGGCTGGGGGGGGTCACCTCCCACCCTTCCTCTCACTGCCTGTGTTGATCCCCAAAGGGCCCTTCCTTCCCCCTGTAAAATGGCAGGGAGTTGGAACTAATGGTCTTCTATGATCTTCTATGAAATGGTGTTGGGAGGTCTTTGGAGTAACCATGTT